CTTCTCGTCAACTGGAGAGTGAGTACTTTTTCCTTTATTTTTTTTTACTTGGTCGCCCTCGTTTCACTACACATTACCTTTGTTATTTCAAGGGTAGTTGTTTCTGAAAAGGAAAACCCCAACTTTGCGGACACTCTGTATATGGGAAAAAAGTCAAAGGTCGCCGTTTCTATAGATCGTGAGGGTCTAAACCCATGCTGGGTATCTGATAAGACATTATAGCGATTGAGATATATATATCTATTTTTTTTTGTTAAGGTTAAGGTTAAGTTGAAAAATGCTAATCTTAGCGACACTTCGCCTTTTTTGTACTTTTACTTAGGTACGAAATAAATCCCATTTATTATTATTATTATTATTATAATTTAAATTGTTTATCTAACCTATAAAAACGATGCTTTGAGCTTTTTTGCCTGAAATAAGTCTATACGGTAATTTTGTACCACTCGGCCATGTTTAAAGACATACTGATTATAATCTAATCATATTAGTAAATTTCCCCGAAATAATTGTAAAGTCTGGTTTTATTGGTGCAGGTTTTTCAAGGCGGTATTTAAAACATGGACGCATAAACTGAGTACACCAATTTTTGTGGAAAAACTTTTTATTTGACAACAAAGAATGAGAAAACGTGTTTTTGGGATTCAATCTGAGTACACCAATTTTTGTGGAAAAACTTTTTATTTGACAACAAAGAATGGGATTCAATCGAAAGTGTTTGACAGGAACGAAAATACTTTTCATACAAGATTTTTAGGTATTTATGAGGCCTACAAAATGAGATTACACGTGAAAAGATCCGACTAATAGCAAAATATGTTATAGCAAGGTAAACTAGTATATTTTGCTATAAAATGCACTCTTAACTAACCCTGTTTATTGCTCAATAAACTAGTAGTGATGGCTGAAAAACAGGTGTTTTGGGATAAACAATTAGAAATTTTCAAAAAACTGCCCGACCAGTATACTCCAATTTTGTTGTTATTAAGAAGTACGAATCCTACGAATCTGAAGAATTTCAAGTATCTGCGAGAAACCGTCGACGCATTACCAACATGTCTCATAAATATCTAAAAATCTTATATATATATATATATATATATCGTTCCTGCAAACACTTTCGATTGAATCCCAAAAAACACGTTTTCTTATTCTTTGTTGTCGAATAAAAAGTTTTTCCACAAAAATTGTGGTACCCATTTTATACGTCCATGTTTTGAATGCCCCCTTGATCAACTTGCAGCGATAAAACCAGACTTTACAATTATTTCGCAAACCAGGGGTATTTTCGTCTATGATTAGACTGTTACTATTACACAAAATAGTATAGAAACAGAAACGATGCATCGCGATGGCCGAATAAATACCCTACTTGCGCAACCTATTGGTTTGATTCATCTGTATTCCTTTACAAAGCTCAAATTCCGATCCGAACACCATATTGCAGATGAAGACACGGTTCTACATAAACGAACTACTTTGTCTAGAAATATTTCCTGTTGAAAGTTATGAGAACAATGATCAAAGAAGATTGTATCTTCGATGAATGTAATTTTTATTTGATGTAAATTGGAATAGCTGCATTGGGAAATGTGTATGTTAATTTTTGTATTGATACAGAAGTATAGGTAGCGATTCTTTCTGTTCCAACATCCACATTAAAGCAAAGCACATAATGGAGTAGATTGTGGAAAAAAAGACAGGCATTGCTTGTAATGTGCATTCATGAATGAAGAACGGTAGTTCTTATATAAGATCTGTAGCCTATTAGTGCATTTTTTGAATGGATACCTTGGTTTAGATAGTTTTGAACACCTTTTCGGATACTCTTATTTCATAAGATTTCGGTTAAATTGTCAGTATGTGTATAAAACGATATTTCATAAATATTCCTCTGACTAATTGCAAATACACAAATGAATGAAAAATTAAAATAGCTGTGATGCTATCATATAAATCCTCTTGTAAATTACACTACTAATTAAACCAAAATCTTCTTGTTTGTAGCCGTGTGATCCTTGGAATTATGGAATTATGATTTTCTTGAGCTGTACATTTATTTTAAATCATTATGCAGATACTATCAAAGTAATATCTCTTTTTATTATTTACAATTTGTTAGTGTAATGTTAGATATCATGGCTTAACAGGCAAATTATAGTTAATAAAACAAGTGTCTCCTGATCAGAATAAATATGTCATGACAGGGGCGTAGCTACCGTCGTATCAACTGTATCAATAATACGGGACCCCAGCTTTCAGATGTAACACGTATGAAAAAAAATGTATATAACGTATATACATATATAGTGCAACCCGCTTATAATGGACTCGGCGGGACTGTGACCAATAGTCTATTACGTATATAGGCGGATGACGACCTTGAAAAAAGCAGCAGAAATAACATATTAAAAGCTTAAGATGTGTTTTTTTAACATGTATTACATGAATAAAAATACATACAAAAAAGTTATTCGTAATTTTGGAATTTGCATTTTTTCGGAATCTGATACACATATTACAGGCATACGTAATGTGTAGGTATGTGTAAAAACCGCAAATTATTTGGTAAAAAAGCTAGTAATTTTCATTTGAACAGATGACTAAACATTGACTAAACCAATTCCCATGCAATAGTAAGCCAATTTTCTAGCATCTAAAATGGTGACAGCTTTGATAATGTTGACATCTTCTTGAAGCTCCATAATTTTCATCAACATATGTTTCCGATACATTTGTTTAAGACTCCAAATGACACGATGGTCCATTGGTTGCAGAACTGATGTCACATTGGGTGGAAAAAATTGAAGGTTGATGTTATTAAGCGAAATATTTAGCAGTTATCGACCAAGAGCAAAATTTTACGATTTTTCTTAACAAGTTCAGAATCCCACTTTTTTAAATATTCTTCAAAAATTGATGAAGTCATCCAAGCTTTATTATTTCCAACATAATCGACGGGAGTTGTTTTAATATTTTTGAAACACATGGGATTCTTAAATTACCCTGAAATTAAAAAAAGGTCATACTGCCATTGAATACTAAAAAAAATAGAACATGAATTTCTATTCATTCACTTACCCATTATCAATAGTTTCCGTTTTTCAGTACTAGAAGCATTAGCACAAATCATAACAGTTATTCGCTATTTTGATAGTTTCCCTCCATTCCAAGTTTCACCTTTTAATTTATGAGTTTTATCTGGTAACATTCTATAAAATATCCCGGTTTCATCTGCATCGAATATGTTATCATCTCAATAATCACTGGATATTACGGGCCAAACTTGATAAATCCAATCATTGGTAACGTTCTTTTCAGCGGAAGCTGACTCACCACACATTTTTTCAAAAACAATGTTATGTCTTTTCTTAAACCTATCTAGCCAACCGGAACTACATTTGAAGTAATCTCCAATCAATTTCCCAAATTTTATTATTATTATTATTATTATTACTGTTATTATTATTACTACTATTATTATTATTAATTATTATTATTATTATTATTATTATTATTATTATTATTATAAAGTTTGACGAAGGCAAATTTTTGAAATTTCCAAAAATTGTAACCTCTTCCCAAAGATGTTTGATTACCTTTAAAAATGTTCATAAAGTTGTGAAGCGTACAAAAACAAACTTTATGACGATCTGCTTCACCCTCGCTCCTCAAAAAGTTTTGAGATGATCCACCCCATGAGTAAACTTCCTAAGGGCGCCCATGATCAATGCGCAATAATTCATATTATTCAATGCAAGCGTTTATTTTTCTTTTTTAAAAATCAATACTTCAAATATTACGCTCCACTTGAGTGCCCTACAAATTTTGATATGGGGCCCCTAAGGAGCAAGCTACGCCACTGTCTCAAGTAAACAGATAAAAAGTAAATGATATTACAGATTGGTTATTTGAACATCCTAGAACTGATGACTATGTAATATTCATTGCTGTAATAGAAGCTGCAGTCACAGTAATAAACAAGTCAATTTCTGACATCCATACATGTATAAAAAGAGGAAGATATTAAAGCTTCAAGAGCAGCACGGGTAAAAGACCTATAAAACGTGAAAAAATCTATAAGATGTCATCTTGCAGACTAGGTAGTTTTTAGGGTGCAAACAGTCATTGCACGTTTGCTCACTAGGATCGTTGTGAGCGTCCATCTATGGAGAAATAGCTCAACTACACGTACTCGCATTGTTGGTTGCATATGTTTTGAGATGCCGAGTAGTCTATAGTTTTCATATCTGAGTCTCTGAGAAGAAAGTTGGCTAGTGATTTGGTTGAATAGCAGGATCGCATCTGGATGATTGTTTGTATTGGTCTGCATGTGTGTATAAAATCACTGTGAGAAAATCATTACTGAATATGCTGCCATTGAAGTATATCTATAAGCTGTGCCCGACGGGTTATTTATATGTTGTCCTTTCTGAAGACTGGTTATGTTCAAATTTATCAATTACGATTTTTTACGCTTTTTTGTGTTTCCAAAAACTTGTAATTACCAGGATGGATAAGAAAAAGTGGATCCAATGGAATTATCATCAGCACATATTAGTACACAAATCCATCGCCGTTACCTCCTGTAATGCCATCTCTGAAACAGATTTTACATCACATCAGAGCCAAACATTGATAACTGAAGCCTCATAACGTTTAGGCAACACGTACAACGTACAACTACAAACGTGTCCATCAGCTAGTCCTAAGTTAACACCTTGTAGAAAAACCTACATAATGTCACAAAAAACCAATATGTCAAAAAAAATCGGCATAATGTCACTGTTCAAGTTACGTAATATCCGTGCCGAAAGTTATAAATATTAGTGGTCAAACTAGATTCGCCAGGGGGTCATGACCCTACTGGATCCGCGCTTGCTCTGTAATACGTCTTACTAAGTATGTTAAGTATGTATAAAAATCAATCATCAGAATTATTATTTTTATTTGAGCTTTCTTAAGTGTGTTTAATAACATACAGTCTACTTAGTGCGGACCTATGATAGTGTACTTTCAGGCATTGCCTTCGTAGATGCTCACGTATGAGGCATATATATACTTATATAGGAAGTGAAACAATTTATCGGTGTATACGGATTTTCAATTATATTTAAACTTACACATAAAGACATCATATACCTATACAATATTCCTAGGTGTATAAGAAGCTGATATAGTCAAACGCCCAAAATAATGACAGTGATAGCTGATTGATCAAAGATTCCTTAATTTTCTCCTTTCCAAGATACACTTTCCACAGTACTATTATGATTGTTTTTCTGCTCTTCCTTCTCCGTTACCTCTTCTTCATCCTGTTGTAACTCCTTTATAACCTTTCTAGCATTCTCCCCAGTAATTATAGAAGCATTGGCAGTGTCCAAGTTATTAGATAGTTCGTCGCCCATGCTTTCAAACACGTTGTCTGACAAGTTCAGTCTAATCTCCTTCATGGGGAACTTGATGAGCTTCACTTCGTCATCTGGTACTCTGTCCACTACCATTTCACCAACATGTTGTAAAGTTACATTTGTTCGTTGAGACATCTCGGTTGATTGTTGATCGGTATTGATATCGCTTGAGCCTTGAGTTGAAGTGAACTTGATGAGGTTTACTTGGTTATCTGGTACCTTGTCCACTACTATTTCACCAACATGTAAAGTTACATTCGCTGGTTGGGACATCTCTGTTGATGGTTGAGTTGTAATGATATTGTTTGAGCCTTGAGATGCAGATGTGCGGTGTGTTTTAGGGAAGCATATTGTAGCATACGTGCTCACGGTTTCATCAGGGGATCTGTAAAATTTGGAAAACACCAGTCACAGAGAAGTAATAATAATTCTCTAAACGAGCAATATCTTTGTTACAATATTTGGCTATAAGTATAGCAACTGTAGCCCAGCCATCATGAACATATGGCAGCATATGGCCCAGCTGTATACAGGGTGATTCAGAAGTCGTGACCAAAAATGGAATATTCGCATATCATTAAGGAACACCCTGTATATTACAGTATGATGCTGGCTACTCTATTGCAGCGAAATAATGAAGTAACAATATTACCCGCTTAGAAGATCCGTTTCACAAAACCTAATGAACATCTATTTGACTTTAACTGTGAACTCTGATCGTTCAGTGTCACTTTCATCCCATAAGCGCGGTAACTGCTATGAATGCGAAAATTTTGAAGATTCATAACATCTACATTACGGACATTCATGTCACTTATCTCCGACGGTTTGACTGTTGATCTGACTGTCTCTCCGTATGTCTATTACGTCTTATGGCAAACAGCATTAGTGTATTTGGGATTGTAAGTATCTTTATCAGACGTATATGAATACGTTTGAATCCTGAAATCGGTCTTGCGGACGCCAACTGAATTATCAGAACTGGAAAGGAATAAGTTTCATATATTCTCTTTGACTTTGCCTTGCTCAAAACTGAGTGTGTAGATCATTATTCCGAGAAACATTATTAACCTACTATTGCGTAGCGGTAGACTTTGACTCCTGAGGTTACCTTGTGCCCAAACTAGTGTTTACCTTCGATGTATCTGTTTCCAGATTCCCCTCAACATAGCATCGGGTATTTCTCCTTCAGCTCTTCTTTTTCTGCAAGTCTTATGAGAATCACAGAGCTCGCGTGCAGCTGGTCTAGGCTCGGTACACTTGTCATCTTCTACCAGTATATCATCTTCGCCTACTTTAGAAGATTCTCGGACGCATTCCACTTCTCTGGCTCTTACTCCGGATTTTCCTATTTCCAACATTTTTGTCATTCATACTTTTATCAAAAGGAGTAGCTATACAAAATTACCTAAATATCATCAAATGATTAACATATTCTACCTGAAGATAGGCAACCTGATGCTAAATTCCTGCGTTTAAAAAATTCGAGATAAAATAGTTACTTATGAGAATTTTTCACAGCCATTTATCTATTTACTATATGTATTTTGAAAAGGTTAATGTCTAATACATGGCGCGGTCTGTGTGAACGTATACAAGCATCCAGCGTCATCTATCAGACACACATTTCTAAAGTACACAATGTAAATAAAGAAATAATTATGAAAAAAAGTCATAGACGACGCTAGGGCATCTCATTTTATCTAGGATAATTTTTTGGACGCGCTAATATAGCATTAGGTTGGCTATCTCCAGGTAGAGTACGTTAATCAGTTTTACATTTGTATGTATTTTTTTCTCTGTAAGTAGAATATAACATTTCTCTCATTAGAAGTCAAAGTGGTTCTTAGCATAGTAGCTTTGCATAAATTCTTGAATTACAATGGCAGTTAGGCGATGTTCTGGGCAGTTACAGGATATCTTTAATTGGGTGTTATCCGTCCCAGAAGTCGACGTCAAGCCGGAAAAGGGGGATAGGCCAAGTCATAATATACTAAGTGACATATAAATCCGAACACCCAGTTTAAATGGTTTTATTTTAATAATATTTTGTATAAGTACTTAATGAAGCATAATAAGTAAATGATAAAAATTTCAAAATGATTGCACTACTTTAAAGCCCTTTGACCTTTAATAATGTGTGGATGCACCCTGATGCTTCTGATCAGGTGGTCAATGTCCTCCTGTGGTATCTCATTCCAGGCAACCACCAACTCCTCTCAAAGTGCTTCAAGAGTCTCAGGAGGACGTTGCAAATTGAGCAATCTCCTACCCATCATATCCCACACGTGCTCAATTGGGGATAAGTCGGGAGATCTTGGTGGCCATGGTAACAATGTGACATCATTATGTTGAAAGAAGTCTATTGTGACTCTTGCAACATGTGGTCGGGCATTATCTTGTTGGAAAGTTCGATCTGCCAGGGTGTCAAGATAGGGTAAAAGATGGGGTTCTAGAACTTCGTGGGTATAACGCTGCGCGTTCATGTTACCTCTGATGAAGATTAAAGGTGACCTGGAACCATAAGCTATAGCACCCCAAACCATAACTCCAACAGTGTGATGAACATGCCTTTCAACAAAAAACTGTGGATTCCTCCTTTCACCACGTCGCCTTCTAACCCTGACACGACCATCGTGCATGCCTAAACAAAATCGAGACTCGTCACTAAAGACAATACATGTTCCATTCCTGATCCCAGAGTGACCGGTGTCTGCACCACTCAAGGCGATTACGTCGGTGTTCTCGAGTTAAAGGGAGGACCCAGTGTGGCCGGTATGAAAACAAGCCAAGACTTCTCATTCGTCGGTAAACACTTCGCATACCAATAGGTCTTCCGTGTTCTGCAAACCATTCATTTGCAATGGACCTGGTAGTGGAGAAACGGTCCCTTAAGGCCAATAATCTTAGGCGGCGATCTTCACGGTCTGTTGTTCTACGGCGGCGTCCAGTGCCCCTTGCTCTTTGCGTACGGCCTTCTCGAAGCCATGCCTGGCAACACCTAACCACAGTGTCTACACTTCTTTGCACTCTAACTGCAATTGCCCGAAAAGAAAGTCCAGCTTCCCGAAGTCCCACTATACGGCCCTTATCAAACTCACTAAGTTGACGAAATCGTACAGGTCTCCGTACTCTAGGCATCGTAACCGATCGTAAAGGATGTCAAGAACCAAAATCCGCCAACGTTGATTCTTTACTGCGGCTGAAATATTCATTTTTAGAGCGTTAGTGAATTAAAAAAAGCAGTATAAAAACCGGAATGTCCAACTGATAAGGCTGAAAATTTTTTCACTTGTTATTTACAGCAAGATAAATACATTCACCAACTTTTATTAAAATAAAACCATTTAAACTGGGTGTTCGGATTTATATGTCACTTAGTATAGTTTTCAGAAAAATATAAAAAAATCTAAGTCCTGTACTTTTACTTATAAAATCTGAAAAATCGGAAAGATCTTGACCCTGTGATGATCTTTTAATTCCCAGTACCAGAAATTTCGTGAGAGGTACCCAAATTGTGGTGTCATCCCGATCACAGAGTTTTTGTGAATGTGCACCGTTTACTCTCAGATGGACGATTCCCAAATCATGAAGATTGTGAATGAAGAATTTCCTTTACTTACGAGGACGTTGTACCTCAAGCAGTCGAAGAAGGCCATACTTTTTTCACAAAACTTATTACAAATATATTACTAATTGTAATTATAGTTTACCTTTGCAAGCTTGACATTCTCCCCACTTTCCCACCTTCCATTTGATCTCACATGCCTGCTCATTGCACCTTTTGGTCGTTGGTTCTGGTTTTTCTTCGCCTTAAAATATGAAAATAACGATTCATTTGATTTATTACAGAACTTCGCTGGACCTTGGAATTCATTGTAAGATTCGGTTAATCAGGAAGAATATTTTATGTTTATACAGGGTGCTTGAGTCTAGGGACCCATATCCGGGAAAGTGTCACTACGGCCCTAAGACGCGTTAAAATTTAGAAAGACGATGAATTGCTTAAATAGGATTTAATGCATTTAATTTTTGCCTTTTGTACATGATATCATCACAACAATTGTTCAAAATGTCTTCCTCCAACTTGAATACACCGTTCCTGTTCTTTGGTTTACGAAACTCCAGTAGAAACAAAGCAAGACTTAATTGGACGAATTACAGCAGCATTTGAAATCATTCAAAACGAGTATCAAACTTTTAGTCAAGTCCGCTGAAATCATGTGCGACGTTTAAATCGGTGTATTCAGGTTGGAGGAAGACATTTTGAACAATTTTTGTGATGATATCATGTACAAAAGGCAAAAACTAAATGCATTAAATCCTATTTAGGCAATTTATCGTCTCTCTAAATTTTAACGCGTCTTAGGGCCGTAGTGCCGTAGTAACACTTTCTCGGATATGGGTCCCTATACTCAAATGTTTTCTACTGTTACACTGAATAACCCCTAGAAGTTTGATCCCATATTTCTGAAACACCCTGTATAGAAGAATCATATGTAGATAGAACTGTCGTAGAGAATTGTGTACTGTTTGAAGGCAGGTGGTTACTTCAAACTTCAACATCTCGGAGTGTCACTCTACGTATTTTTTTGTATTTTTACGCCTCAAAAATCCAGACTGATTAGTCAGTTCTAGGATTCATTACACTACTGTGACTAAATCAAGTTGTAGTTAAATTAACGTTGAAGTCAAATTAACGAAAGAGATTCAGTCATTTTAATGACTTAAAAATATCTTGAAAATACTTCAAGAAAAATCTTCACACCATATCTGAGTCCTATAATGGACTACAGAACCACATTTATACATTTTATCATGTTTAGGTTTAGTTTAGTTTTGCCGATAAGAATCTTTCTATTCTTCAGGCAATGATCTATCCATCTGCAGAATATGATTGAAATTCAGTATTGTTTTCAAATCGTTGTCTTTGACTGTCGAACGTGCAGGTACCACCCAGCGGATCTCTAAGACGAGGCCGGAATGTGTCGCCCATAGCCCCGCGGTACCCATGGGTGTTTAGGTTTTGATATTTCCCATTCACTTCAGAGATTTAATTTGCAAGCATCAATCGATATGGGCCTCCATGAGTATTATTTACCTGTACAGTAACTGTCGCTGACTTTTCCCGCCTTGTCCTCAACGCAATCGTACTTGGAGGTCTGCTGACCACCCCCGCATTTCGCTGAACAATCCGTAAACTCCAGCAACTCCCAATGGTAATGAGGAGTATAGTTCAACTCCGTAGTCGCTTCGGCATATTTGTATCTGTAGCCCACGTTTTCATCTTTGTAGAAGCATACGTGAAAGATAAGATCTTCTTTGGTCGGCCCGTGGATAAGGACCAGTTCTTTGCCTGGTTCCACGTGTTCGTAAACGCCTTCGTCTGCGCCGAATTTTTTCTGGCCGTCCTCATCCTCCCTGGATGGAATGTATTTTATATATCATTTTTTGATCAGAAAGCGGCTGACTGAAAGGTCCATCGGGTGGTTTGGAAAAGTTTAAAAATCACTTTTTATATGTATTTCGATGTATCTTTTCCATATCATTTCTTTTTTACATAGTGGAAGGTAGTATCAGAAAAATTACTTTGGTCTGTTATTTTCACAATATATTTATTATGGGTGATTGTCCGAGGAAAATAGCTCTACGGTAAACTAAACTAGAGAAAATTATCTACAAAGTTAGTACTAATACTGTTTGAGTAGTGAATGGTTTCAAAATTATAAGTATGAAGGGTGATTCACAAGTCGTGACCAAAAATGAAACATTATACACAGGACCGCATTTCAATGGGGGTCTATACTGTGCATGCATTGTTACATGAAACTGCATGCATTACGCGTGGCAGCGTGTGTCAAACTCTTCAGCGTCTAAAAATTCTCCCAACCTTCCAAGAAGTCGGATATATAATTTCTATGCTTACATGTTTCCTCCGTTCAGATACCAATGCTTTTCTGTTTTGTCACTGATAGCTAGTGTGTTTATCGATGATCCCAGCTCTTCCAGTCTAATCATCTTCGCCTTAGCAGGGATCATTGCTATTTTTTTATACCTGTAAACATTCAACTACTAAGTAAATTTGATACTGAATAATGCGGATACAGGTGTAGCATCTGCATCTGCGTAGCTGCCTAAGAACAAATAATTGCGTAGACAGTCTAGAATGTAAATAATCCATGTGGGTGTCAAGTTGAGTCTGGTATCGAGTTCTATTCCTAGAGGTTTTACTGGCTTAGATCTCACAACCCACCTGTCAGAGGAAAATGTAATATGTAATTGTTTTCATTTAGCGATAACTTGTTGGCTAAAAACCATCTTTTAGCTTGTTACAGACTCTGCACAACCGTGATTGGGTCAGGTATAGACAGCAAGGTGGTGTCGTCTGCAGATAGGAAGCAGGATCCTTTATCAATACTTGAGGGCATGTCATTGATATACATTAGAAATGGCAGAGGTCCAAGTACTGACCCCTGCGGTACCCCGTTGCTAATAAGCAATTGGATAGCGATATCCAAACAGTTTAATTGTTTTCGTGGCGATTTATATCGATATTTTGTTCTCGATTTCGTAGACAATAAAAATAACTGCTTCCTTTGTGAAACGAAACCTGCTGGCAAATTTGTTTGAAGTGATCTTCCCTGAATCTATAGGTACGAAATATTCTGGGATGCATCATACGACTCCAGAAACCCCTTACCATCAGTAATTTGTTCAACAGTATCCCCCATTTTCGATTATCATCAACCAAACTCTTTACGATACGTAACCTAAAAACTCATAATTACACGTCAATTTTGTACCGATTCTAAAATCTCGCCTGAACCAACGTTAAACGGAGGCGCCTCCCTCGGAGAACTTCACTAAAGTTTAAACTGCGATATGTCCGTGAACCTAAAACCTACACACCTATAGTTGTAGTATTTCATCCAAATGTTTGCAAGATTCTTTTTTGTGTTGGAAAAGATGTCTTATTTGTTTAGCTACTCACCCCGAGCCTCCTTTATCTCTATATATCTCATCTACAAGTTTGCATTGCGTTCCATCACCATTGCAAACTCCGCAAACATCTTCAACCGCTGTTGAATCCAATTTATTGTCGCAGCCCACATGTTTGCAAACTCCTTCGATGCATATGTCTTTAGTACCTGGCTTACACGGAGTACCATCTTTGACTTTATTTTCCACCCTCGTAATCATGCGAGCCTTTTCGTTCAAGCAGAACAGCACACATGGTTCTGGCTTTCTAAGAAATATATCTATTAATAATACAATTATTAACAAAACATAGCCAATCATAAACAGCTGTTTCGTGCTTTTTGGAAACTCATCAGCATGGACTAGGCTTGGTTTCTAGAACAACGAACGAAATCATAGCAACTATCCTCAATCCATGGTAATATCAATACGTCCAGAACTGTCAGCCTCTGTCGGTCACAGGTGACTGGGCTATCAAACGCGAACTGAGATCTCTACGTTTCCAACCGATAGCCGCTATACACTTTGTGTGGACGGTGGTGCTTCTTAAATCGCGATGCTAACAGGTCGCTTAAGGAACGAGATTAGATTACGTATGCACTTCTTGTGCTTGTGTAGTATTGTCATTCCACTTTATGATAATAAATAAATTTTTATACCTGTTGTAATTTTATGTGTGATGCCAAATAAACTAGATATATGAAAAGATAACTTTATTTTTCAATTATGGAGGTACATTGTGTAAGATTCATATACAGGGTGGCGCATCGAAAACGAAACAGACACATTTACTGGCAGCTAATTTTTTTTTTAAAACGCTCAGACCCCTTGATTTCGTTTTCGAGGGGGACACAAGTTTGGCAAAAAATCACGTTACAACGTGCAGCCCCCTAAGCGGGGGTGACACTGGCACGCATTCACAATTTTTTGTCGCAGTTCTTCTAATGAGGTCGGCTGAGTAGCATAGATTTTGCTTTTTAAATGACCCCACAGAAAGAAATCCAAAGGTGATAAATCTGGCGATCTTGGGGGGGCATTCAATGGCACCTCTTCTACCAATCCATCGATCTGGAAACGTCTGATCTAAATATTGTCGAACACGTAATGCGTAATGTGGTGAGGTACCATCCAGTTGGAACATCAACCTATTCGCAATGTACCGCCGATCATTCTGATTTTCAATTATGGCTGTTAATGCAGGATCTATGGCCCTCTTCCAGTAATTCCAAATACATTTCACCGCTCAAATTTCCAGGTAAGAAAAAAGGAACAACTAAAACTAAATGATCGCCAAAAATTCCAGGCCAAACATTTAATTTTTGTGGCTGTTGTGTATGAACCTCATGATAAATTCTGGGATTAGAATCGGACCAATATCGACAGTTATGACGGTTTACTACGCCATTTAAGAAAAAGGAACATTCGTCGGAAAAGCAAGTGTTGAATAGAAAATGTTTATCGTTCGTAATTCGTTCACTCATATCTTCTAATCACCGATCAAATCGTCTTCATTAAGTTCTTGTATCAGGTGAATTTTATACGGATGAAAACTATGGGCCTTTAGAATCCGTTGGACAGTACGTCGACTAACATCACACACAGTCTCCATTTTGCGGGTACTTAACGTAGGATATACATAAACTTGCCCTAAAACCCCCACTTCTATTGCTTCGTTCCTTATGGGATTTTCAATGTTGCGTTTTTTATTGGCGACTGACCCAGTTTCCCGAAATTTAGCTACAAGTTCTAGAACATATTTTCGATCCCCGTTACTCTTTCTGCTGTGGAATATACCATAGTTAATTTATGTAATAAAGCGTTACAAGTTATTCTAGCAACAAAGTTTGGTCAAATCAATCGCAAACTATGTACTAAATTCCTATTTAAAATAAGTACGAGATATTTCCGTATCTTTTTTCAAGAAATAACTTTTTTGACACAAAAAAACGCTCCAATAGCTATGTTCAACAACAAAATGATAAAGAAACCATGGGCGTAGTGAAGAAAAGCATTTACTTATTAAGTAAATTCTTTTAGTCAAATTTCTTCTGAAAGTAGTAGAAACTAATCTGATGTACCTATCAAAGTCTACATTAAGCTTTAAATCCATAAATCTTCAAAACTACTGAACTGAAGCTCATGTATTTTACATAATTATAAAGGGAATTGAAAGACCTTCAAAATAAGGTATCACTCGACCCCCCTTTCCATTTAAGATTTTAGGGTTGGTGTCACCCATGCCCAGGGGACTGCATGTACTAACGTGATTTTTTGCCAAACTTGTGTCCCCCTCGAAAAAAAATCGACGGGTCTGAGCGTTTTTCCAAAAAAAAACTGAGCTGCCAGTAAATGCGTCTGTTTCGTTTTCGATGCGCCACCCTGTATTTCATTATTAAGTTTTATTCTATCAATTTTGAAATGCAGTCGAGTCATGTATCTGTCGTCGAAGATTCATGATAATTATTAAAAAAAATAATTGGACTCTTGAGACGACACAAATCTATGCAGAACTACCAACTGGTCATCGTGTAATCTTGAAAGACTGAAGATATTATTTTCCTTCCAAAACATAAATAAGTGATTCACATGAAAGTGAGAGTAACCACTGTCACATGACAAGTGTGCCATGACAGTTTCTTCCAATCTTGTGACAGAAAAGCACCACATGATTCATTGTCAGTTCGTGTATGGGCTGCAAGTCTAAAAATACTGATTTTATCGAAAATGGATTACCAGTCTAGCGAATTTTATTCTTTGAAGATTCTGTTTCCTATTCAACTTCGCAACGATATGTTTATAAAAGATTTCAGGTTTCTTTTTCAATTTACTTTTTGCCATATAAATTGGAAATTAGAAAGGTTCTATACAAAGTGTGAAGAATCATATACCTTACTATTTCAGCGTGTAGAACTTACTTATAAAACTCCTTCCATCCTATCAGTTGACCATTATTTTTTTCTTTATCCTTTTCATTACACTGAACCTGTCTAAATGATGGAGACCCTTCAGGACAAGGTTCCGTATTGCACATCTTGTACTGTTTTCTTTCTCCTATACAATATCTATAAAGATATGACATATCGTTATCCGTCATATTCTACAAAAAACACCAATTTCTCGGGTGCATATGGAACACAAAAAATAATGTGCCAGGTTTCCATGGAAAAAATCTCCTACAGGCCTCCCCTACCAATGTACAGGTCCCTGAAGTACGACAACTGGAAACAGATTTTACTTAAATATCTTTTCTACACGTTATCGATTTTATCCCAGGATAAATGATAAATTTCTCGGGTGCATATGGAACACAAAAAATAATGTGCCAAGTTTTCAAGGAAAAAATCACCTACTGGCCTTCCCTACAGATATGCAGGCTCCTAAAGTACGACACCGGAAATAGATTGTTGTTGAATATATTTTATACACTTTAACTAAATTTTAACATCAGTTGAGACCTCATAAAGTAGTATCCATGGAAAGTAATTAACTCATTCAGATCACTGGGAACTAGACCTAAATCAATATATTCAATAATTCTTTATATATTGTATAATAATGGCTGAAAAATCGCAATTCTGGAAATCCTATAGCTGTCCTATATCAATCTTGTTTCAATACCCTTCCTTCCACAATGTAGCTGACCAAGGATTGTGAAAATAGTATTTTGAATTTTCTTGGTCACTGATTACAAATTTATTATCAGATTCACTATCTTTTTAAATCTGTGGAACTGCTATATCGAATCCAATAAATAATAGTTAAAAAACCCTAGGACAGCAGGACTTCTTGTGTCAAAAATGGCTTATTTAATCGATGTCATTATAATTTTTCAACTAAAGGATCAAACTCTTGAACTGAGCATTTATGATACAAAAAGCTAGAAAATCGGTTATATTGCGTTGATGCTAGTTCACCCTGGAATCTAAATTAGTTAAGTCGTTTATAGATATCATCATTTGAGGCTGCAGTTGGTTCTACAGGTAACTGTACGGATTCTGTCAGTAGCAATTGACAAATGGCTTTGAAATCACAAGAATCTAAGGCACACGATTTGAACGGTTTTGCGACAGTTCTTTTTAGAACTCGAATAATGCTAAAATATAGTTGAGGAGTGATTTTAGAACAACCGATCGTTCTTTGGAGGCCTGTATCTCCGTAGTGATGCACCGCTGGTCATTATCTATAAGAATTTGTGAATTATAAATAACTCGTCGTTTTAATATTGTTATATGTATATGTTGGGGATCATTATGTTTGAATTATAAAAAAATGTGTTATAATATTAATATTATGTGTTGTTCAACCAAAATTAGTGAACCTTTTACATCTGTAGAGCCCTCAAGGAAATATAAGTTATAAAATTGGTTTTCGTGTTCCATGTGCTTTCGAGAGATTAACCAATTACTTTAGGACATGATTTGAAATATAAATAATAATATATACATAAAATGATTGAATGACTTTACTGACGTTTCGACTGCTTCAAAACTTAATTGACCTTATCATTTCATTGACAGTTAAATAGTGATAAAAAGATCGGGCAATACACGATAATTTTCAAAAGTTACCTTCCATTGTGTTGTGGTACCGGCTTATTACAATCCCTAGTAGTAGTGGATACTCCCCCTCCGCACGTCCTGCTACACGCGGTCCACTCCCCCCATTCTCCCCAACCGCCGTTGATGGCCTCGGGTCGTTCCCCAATCTCCACGCATTTTCCGTGGAAGCACCACTGGTTGGTACCGCACTTGGTGCCGTCCACCGGTGGTTCGTGGTTGCTGAGGCATTCGTCTGGATTCACTTCGCAAGACAGCATCGCACAAAACTCCGATGAAGCAAACTGTGGAAAGAAATTATCTACTAGTACTATACGATTTCAGGCTGAGTCTGTATTTTCCAGGTATTTTTTCAACGAAGCAAGAACTACTAAAATCATCAGGGTCTATGTTTATCAAAACTGTACACTAACTAAAATTGACTTTTGGGCATCCGCGATTTGTAATTTTTCATGCCCATTGTGATCACTCAAGCGATCAAATAACGTCATATTTGATCCTAAGTCCTTGAAAGGTTTTTGAGAAGTTGGCTAAACTGGAAAGAGTATAATGCAAAGAGAGTTTTCGAGCAGAATGTAAATGTAAATAAATAGCCAACAAACTTTACTATAGAATATTGCAGATCTTATCTATTTTATAACATGCTCATACCGTTTTTGCCATGTTTACCAAGGCAATAAGATGTTCAGTTTCAAAATATCCTTATTTGTATATCAATCGCAAACATTAAAATTGGTGCAGCAATTATTCAAATAACGCAGTCACAAAATACAAGCAGGCGAGACAAATCTTCCTGGTGCAGAGGTCATAAAATGTTCAAAAAACGTGTATCCTCAGCTAAAGGAGAAATGTGCACTGAGGCTGCAAATATTTTTTAATTTTCGTTGTTGCTGAATAGTAAAAATAATATCAACAAATTATATGTATATCCTATCTGCACAATTATTTCTCATTAGCCAGGTTAGCAGATACCTCGATAACCATACTTTGCGGATAGTGTATGTGTGCAACGTAGCGTTCGCTCTGGAAACACTGGAATTCAGAAGAACAGGTCATCCACCATCAGTACAAGTTTGAACTCGCTCGAGCGATTTTCTTTTTGCGAAACAGTTTTTCCTATTGTGATCTAAAAATGAGTGACATCACTTTCGAGCCGATGTGCTATCAGGTTTTGCTTCGGACTTGGACACAATGTAACGGAAACTCTTGCTAAGCTTCAGCAGGCCTGCAGAGATAGAGTTTTATCAAGAGCCCAGGTTTTTCGGTGGCTTAAGGCATTTTCAGAAGGGAGAGAGTCGATTGAAGATGAACCACGATCGTGTACATTAAGATCATCGGTTGACAGAATGATTGCAACGTCAATAAACGAGTTTTTGTCCAGTAAAACAATTCCTGTGGCTCCTCAGCCTCCTTATTCGCCTGACTTGAGTCCTTAGATTTTTTTCTCTTCCCGACATTAGAAAGTCACCTGAACCGAACTAATTTTGGGACAGTCGAAAATATTAAAATGGCTGAAACCGACCAGCTGAAGGACTTCCAGCACTGCTATGAGGAGTGAAAGAACCGTCTCTAGCGCTTCGAGGCTTCAGAAGGAAGTTATTTTGAGGGTGGCAATATAAAATTGTAATTAGATTTGAAAAAAAAACAGTCTCATGACTTAATATGCAGACCTCGTATATAGTCACATTGCATATCGCACAATGCACTGGCTAAAATTAGTCACGACTAACAAAATGTTCATTTCATAAAAGCGGCTTTTTAATTCCAGTTATCAACGTGCAGAAATCACTTCAAAATTAAAGAAATATTACCACTTCAATCAATTCATATTTTAAAATCCAAATATGAAACGTCTGCAGAAGTATATACACCTATGCACTACGTAGTGAAAATCCTAAGGAATTCATACTCGCGACTAAATATAACTGAAAATAGTAGACCTTGCACCCATATAAAATTCAACTAATTCAGGAATTGAAACCGCAGAACCACTATCCACGCCGAAACAATGTTAGAGCGCTTTCCACGTCCGTCTCAAAGATGTTATTTTTAAAAAATAAAATTCACATATGTCTACTTTATTAAAAATATAAATCATCTTCCCTACGCTTTGTAATTTTTTCTATGATTTTTTAAAATCTGCTCAAGTTAATAGCCCTTCCTGTATTATAGGACAGTGAATTTAGTTTTCTAGCCTCTGAAAGAGCACAAATAAAATATCGTGGTGAAAGCTTCGACTATGTTTTACAAATGCGGTGTTAAAATGTGACTTATTTCAAGAAAATTGCGAGTTACTAACCGTGCAAGCCTTTGATCCAGGAAAGAGAATCTTGCATTGCTCGTCTGCATCATATACAGTGCCTGGTAGGGCATTCTTGTATTTATACACTGCAGTGGTAGGTTCGTCATTCAGACACTCTCCAAGATCGTTTTCGAAAAGGGCTGTCATGAAACCTCGACTACATGATGACCACCTTATCAAATCAAGAAGCATAGCAGTGAAAAAGTTGTTCTCCATTTATGCTACACGAAGTTTGAGTGATCAAAGTTAAATATCGAGAAAGATCTATCGTTCAAACTACAAAAAAATATATACACTTGCACTTTTGGATCTGTTTTCTATTTGGACTACATTTTATTTTTGATAACTAAAATACTATCTAAACATGACAATTTTGTCCGACCAAAAGACAGCCAACCATCGATAGTTGTTTCGTGCTTTTTGGCTACGCATCAGCATGGTCTTTTGTCTCTGGACAAACGAACTATCGTTTATCCAGGAGGTACGGTCTAGCTAAAGAAGACAGCGCGAAGCGCCATCTATCACCAACTGTAAAGATCTAAGCGTTTAATAAGAAAAATTAAGAGAATAAACAAAGTTTTCCTTATAACCAAGAAAATAAATGAAACATGTGGTTTATCGTTGAATTCGTATGAAAAAATGCTCTTTTGAACTCAAAAACTAACCGCTCGACACAAAATTACAAAACACCATAGTTTTGTGCCAAAAAAGTGCCAATGGAAAAGTTTCATTAGTTCAGAAAAAAATAAAAATGGTGTGGCCAAATTTTAGTTTTTTTAAAATATCTCTATAAGCCATGAAGTTTCTCAACGACATGCAAATATGACCCAAAGAACGCAACTTTTTTCATTATCTTGGACACCCTATATAGACTTATCTACAAAACCAACCTGCGTGTATCCATGTGCACATAGGGCGACATGACATAGTACGACTTATCCTCTGGATCCTGCGCTGGACATGGCGAGTTTCCCTCTTTATCATGGGTGCAGCCCATCACATGGCCCATCTCATGGGCCACCGTCATGCCCACCATTAGGCCGCTGTCCTCGTTGATGGCGCAACTCGAGTCATTTTTGCAAGCTGTGGCCACGTATGCCAAGCCCAGAAGACCGCAGCCACCGCTATCGCAAATGTCGTGTCTAAGAAAAAAGATGGCGTCGAGTAGATTGGCTCTTTACTTCCCAGGCAATGGCCGATTTTGCTCACTCTAGGCCAGAGTTCCCCAAACTTTTTTGTGTCGTAGAACCCTTCCCATGTTTTTCCGTGTTGGGTAGACCCCCTACTTACCTGATATTGATTTCCTGTAAATTTCTAACTGTAGTGAAGTTTAGTGTTAAAAACTTAAAGTAAAAACACATGTTAATTTATACATTTATTAATTGAATTTAAATTAAAACTACTCAAAATAAAACTTTGTATCTGTTATGTAAAATATACGTAACATTAAATAAACAGGTGTCTGACCAATAAGTGCCCGCATTGGGAATAAGTGCCCGCATTGAAAAAAAATAAGATTGATAAAATAAACAAAAGTGAAAAATAATTAAAAAAAAAGTTTTTTACTTAAAATAGTACAATAAGCGAGTTCGTTGATTAATTATAACATAAACGTATGTTCTACAATAATTTCACTGATTGATTAAATTCCGCTTCTTACACGTTTAAGTTATCTAAAAATAGGCACAAAATTAACGAATTTTAGTGTGTACCTATCCTTGAATTTTCAGAATAATTTAAAAAATATATTTTCTATAAAGGGGGGTTCTTTAAAAAAATCAATGCGGGCAATTATTCCCAATGCGGGCATTTATTGGTCAGACACGAATAAACATAAAATAAACTATAAATAAAATAACATAAGCAATAAGTCAATATTTTTAGTGAGAAGGATGAACCTGATGCTTTAATAATAAATTATCAACATTTGGCGTCAATTTTGTAAGGGTTAATCTTAAATCTCCTTGGCTAATGATGTCCAGTCTGTTTCTTTTTTTCGTTAGGAGATTGGTAACAGCGCTGAACCCCCTTTCCACTAGGTATGACGATGGAAAGGAAATTAAAATTTCCTCGCTATATTCCATAATACGGGATAAGTAACGGGTATGTTGTTTTGCAGCCAGAATTGCTGATATCCGTTTTTAAACTGAACCTTAAGTTCTTCGTTTGTACTTAGTTCAGTCAGTTCCTCTTGTATTATGACATTCGTTTCTTCTATGTCGCCATATGGATTAATTATCCACGGTGGTATTACCATAGTCAAAATATCCTTAAACCTAGATTCAAAATCTGAATAGAGGGAATTTAAATGTTGAACGTAAGTTGAAACGTCGTCTTCCTGGCAGCTTGTCTGTGACAAATTGGGGAACTGAGAAAATATTTTGTTTCATTAGTTTAACTCTGGCAAGAAACGCTGATAAGATGGACTTTGTTTTAATCAAATTTAAACTGTCGCCTTCTAATTGCAAATTAACCATATTAAATTTTGTAAACAAATCTGTTAAATAGGCGATGTCTGTTTTCCTCTTCATTAAATTTTCTTTTAAACTTTTATCTTTAGTATCCAGAAATTCTAAAATAGTCTCAAAAAGTGCAAAAAATCTTGTCTAACATAAGCCTTTCGACAGCCAGCGTAATTCAGTGTGAAGGAGTAATTGATGAATGTGTTCGTCATTTTCTTCACACAACTGCGCAAATAACCGCGTATTCAACGCGTTGCTTCGGATTCGGTTTACTGCATCAATGACTAAATGAAGTGATTCATGCAATCTAACACTCAAATTTTTAGCAACTAAATGTTGTCGATGGATGACGCAATGTATTGCTAACACCCCTGACACATTTTGTTTTAAATAGCTTATAAATCCACGATAACGTCCAACCATGGCAGGTGCTCCATCTGTAGCTACTGATATTATATTTGATAAAGGAATTGCTTTTTCAATGAAGTAATCCTTCAAAACATGAAATATTGATTCACCTTTAGTGTCGGTTATCAAAGTTCTTGCGAAGAGCAGTTCTTCGTAGATTTCTTGATTCATAATAAAACGAACATATGCCAATAATAATGCTGCATTATCAGGTAAAGTTGACTCGTCCAGTTGTATAGAGAAATGGGTCGTTTGCAAATAATTACATAAGAAGCTTTCAATATCAGAACTCATTTCATCAATACGTCTTTCAACAGTATTGTTGCTTAAGGGAATTCTTTTAATGATATCAGATGCAGGTTTGTGTAAAACAGTTTTTAAAACCTCTTCAACGGCTGGTAAAATTAACTTCTCTCCGATAGTATGCGGTTTTCCGGATTTTGCTATAAGTAACGAGATATTGTAAGACGCCCGCAAACCATAATCATTCCTTTGTGACGTCGAAGCGAACATTCTGTCCAGTGTAGGTCTCTTCTGAAATTTATCTTTGAGTGTTTGAAAGTATTTCAAATCTTTCTCTGTTTTATCAGGGTGGCATCTTCTCAGATGATCTTGCAGTTTAGATGGTTTCATAGCGTCATTGCCCAAAACTTTGTTGCATAAAAGGCACATAGGCGATTGTTTGTCCGGCAATGATGGAATGAAGCCAAATTTCAAATAATCAACACTGTACTGTCTTCATTTCTTTTTAGATTCGGACATGGCATCAGTCAACTGTGGGCAAAATTAAATTATGTAAATAAGACAGAAAATCCAGCAGCTCTATATTAAAAATATTTTTTGATTTTTCCGAAAACATTCCATAATTCGAACATCTTCTTGCAACAATTAGCTCGAATTACGGAGATTGCACTGTAATTATATTACCGATTGCTAAAACTTTCAAAAACAAACTATTGAGGAGTAGGTACTCGTGTAATTTTGCATGATTGAATATTTAACTACTAACAACTAAAGTCATGATTGGCGTAATTTATCTATCTTTGCTAACTACGAGTACAAAACTAAAATTTAATAAAAAATAATGTACTTACTTTTCTCCAGCACTGTCAAACAAAATAACACTGACTCACTATAATTTGTGTGATATACTATCTGTTTATATTTTTTTAAATATTTTCTTAGCATTTTCCTTTTCATGATTCAGGAAACGAATAAACGTATGTGTCCCACATTCGTATTTATAGAGTGACGAATTGAACAAGTAGCGAAGCTCTGAGACTGCGACTCTCAGGTTTTTACAAGTTCAAAATGTATTGCGACCTCAAAGCGAATACCAACATCCTACAACTTACACAATTTTATAAACATATATAATAAATTTTTTACTTCATAGGTACTTTTATAAATAATGTATATGTTTTGATATTATAAGACAGTATGATGTAAGTAAATAGGTACTATCAGTGTATGTGTTGAGATCCACTATCGTGGACCCCCATATTCATTTCATGGACCCCCAATTTTTTTTTCGCTGACGTAGACCCCTTGCAGGTTGTCATAGACCCCTAGGGGTCGATATAGACCACTTTGGAAATCAATGCTCTAGGCGCATCAGTGTGGTTAGGGGTTAAGCTGCCAAGCTTACAAAGGCGTACCATGGGGGGGGGGGGCAAGGGGGTCAGAAAATATTAAATGGAGAGAACATTTTTACAAAAATTAAATTATTCATGTACAGGGTCTTCCACAATCTGAATCAATATCTATTAGAGAAATTACTAGGATTAGTTACATTCTATGTTAGACATAAACTTAATTTTGATAAAAGCATTGTACATGTTACGTGTGTTTCAAACCTCACCTTTGGGATCTCAGAACCTGTAAAGCGAATGTCACACGATCAGTATTTACTATGGTCCGTACATCAGAGTATTTCTGCGTAACATGATGCGTCAATAATTACTGACGCCCAGGCTCGGTCAATAAATATCACATCTCTTGATAAATATACGTCGCGGAGTACTTTATGGGGGCAAGTTGCGTAGACCAAAAAATTGAACTTGGACAGTTTGGGAATTAAACAAATTTCCGAATTTAATCTTAGTCGTATTTACTTTTTCCTGGCTTTGGTCCCAAAACTTTTCAAACATCAACATTGTCTACAAATTTCAAACAAACTACACAATAACATTACTACTATTTGTCTTCTACACGGAAGCATAATTAGAATTTCGATCTGACGTTTCAGCTCTCAGCTTTTCAAAAGTATACCGTTTTCGACGTCGTCATGATACCCTTAAATAATAAAATGAATTACTCGTACATTATGTTGTTCCACATTCGATGAGTTTAAACCAACTATATAAAATTAGGCACTTGAAGTGTTATATCAATGCGTAACATATTATCAACTTCGATATTCTACGAAATATATGACTATATGATTATTTCAAGGCTTACTCATTTTTTTATAATAATGTTTAACATGCTATAGTATTTGAAATCAGAATTAAAAGCTATTCACCTATGCAAAAATGGCATACATAAGAAAAAATCAAAGTTGAGATAGCGTATAAGAGACGTAAAATCATATTAATTTTCGATTTATGTTATAAAGTCAATGTGTATCTTATTTTGAAATCCTATCTCAAATAAATTCAGAAAAAATTAGATACGATTTTGGGACAATTCATTAACTTTTCCGTATATCTTTAAAATGTATAAGTTTGCAACCTTGCCACCATTGAACCGAACTATATTTCTTACCGTTTCGGAGATCATAATGGTGAAAATATGACAAATTTGTTTTTCAAATCATTCTACAATAAATAAGGTACTTATCCTTTTACATATCCTATAAAAGTATTTTTGTCTATATGAAGAAATTTCAAGTAATTGTAAAAAAACAATGAATAAATATCGACAAAGAGAAACTATTTCCGGAATTAGTATAATATGCTATATCCCCGGCTATATCAGAACTTCTCCCTTTGAGGTGGCTTTAACTTTTGACTACTATACTAAAAGGTTTTATTTTAATAAAAGTTGGTGAATGTATTTATCTTACTATAAATAACAAGTGAAAAAATTTTCAGCCTTATCAGTTGGACATTCCGGTTTTTATACTGCTTTTTTTTAATTCACTAACGCTCTAAAAATGAATATTTCAGCCGCAGTAAAGAATCAACGTTGGCGGATTTTGGTTCTTGACATCCTTTACAATCGGTTACGATGCCTAGAGTACGGAGACCTGTACGATTTCGTCAACTTAGTGAGTTTGATAGGGGCCGTATAGTGGGACTTCGGGAAGCTGGACTTTCTTTTCGGGCAACTGCAGTTAGAGTGCAAAGAAGTGTAGACACTGTGGTTAGGTGTTGTCAGGCATGGCTTCGAGAAGGCCGTACGCAAAGAGCAAGGGGCACTGGACGCCGCCGTAGAACAACAGACCGTGAAGATCGCCGCCTAAGATTATTGGCCTTAAGGGACCGTTTCTCCACTATCAGGTCCATTGCAAATGAATGGTTTGCAGAACACGGAAGACCTATTGGCATGCAAAGTGTTTACCAACGAATGAGAAGTTTTGGCTTGTTTTCATACCGGCCACACTGGGTCCTCCCTTTAACTCGAGAACACCGACGTAATCGCCTTGAGTGGTGCAGACAACGGTCACTCTGGGACAAAGAATGGAACAGTATTGTCTTTAGTGACGAGTCTCGATTTTGTTTAGGCATGGACGATGGTCGTGCCAGGGTTAGAAGGCGACGTGGTGAAAGGAGGAATCAACAGTTTTTTGTTGAAAGACATGTTCATCAGATAATGCCCGACCACATGTTGCAAGAGTCACAATAGACTTCTTTCAACATAATGATGTCACATTGTTACCATGGCCACCAAGATCTCCCGACTTATCCCCAATTGAGCACGTGTGGGATATGATGGGTAGGAGATTGCTCAATTTGCAACGTCCTCCTCAGACTCTAGAAGCACTTCGAGAGGAGTTGGTGGTTGCCTGGAATGAGATACCACAGGAGGACATTGACTACCTGATCAGAAGCATGCCTAGGCGCGTTGGAGAATGCGTAGCACATCAGGGTGCATCCAGACATTGTTAAAGGTCAAAGGGCTTTAAAGCAGTGCAATCATTTTGAAATTTTTATCATTTACTTATTATGCTTCATTAAGCACTTATACAAAATTTTATTAAAATAAAAACATTTAAACTGGGTGTTCGGATTTATATGTCACTTAGTATATTTCATATTTATTCTTATGCACTTTTCGGCAAAAAATTAATGATTTTTTACAAAAACCAATTAACTCTTGCAACGAACGGACATACCCATTTTGAAGGTGTTCTTCGATAGACAAAACTTTGAAGTTTGATAAAAAAAGTTTCCCAGATTTTTTGATTTCGAGATGAGGGGCCTTTGCATTCGCTCTAAGGAATACAAAAATCCTTCTGTACAATTTCTTTCACAACAGGCTTGCTTGAATGTTTCAAAAAAGTAAATTGTCAAATCGTCGTGTGGAAGACTCTATATAAATTAAATGCAAAAGGAAAAAAATATCAAGCATACTTTTATGAGGAACTTTTTTGAAGGTTTTGAGATGGGTACGCCCTTCCGAATCATGCAACAAAGGTTGCGAATCAATTCCGTCTTTTTACCTAGTCAACAACACCGCAATGTCATGATGATGCGGATTCTCTATATCCTTAGGATTGACGCCCAGTTGCCACTTGCAGAAGCTCTTCAGCGTTTCTGGCGCATTGGTGTTTATCTCAAGATCGACCTCTTCTTCCTCTTTCTCCAGATACATCATCCTAACGATCACCACGTCCATTTGGTTCCCGCTGCTCGCATCGTGGTAGAAATCAGCTACCATGTTCATTATAGTCAGCACATAAGTGTCGACGTCGCGGTGCTTATGGTGGGTCAGAAATTTCTTGTCCATCACTATCAGGGTTTCGATGTACCGGTGAAGGCTTGCTGAACCTATTTACATTTCAAAACATACTTAATTGGTGTTCCAAGTCCGCACGGGTATTATGTAAAAGACCTATAAAACTTAAAAAAAACTATAAAATGCCATCTTGCAGACTAGGTAGTTTTTAGGGTGCAAACAGTCATTCCACGTTTTCTCACTAGGATCATTGTCAGCATCTATGTAGGAATAGCTCAACTACACGTGTTGTTGGTTGTATATGTTTTGTGAAGCCTTGTAGTCTGTAGTTTTCGTCTCTGAAAAGAAAGTTGGTTGAAGAGCTAGATAGCATGTCTATTGGTCTGCATGTGTATAAAATCAGTGATATTTGCTGTGTAAGAAAATCATTACTGAATTTGCTGCCAATGAAGTATATCTATTAGCTGTGCCCGACGGGTTATTCATATGTTGTCCTTTCTGAAGGCATGTTATATTCAAAGTTATAAGTTACGATTTTTTTTTAGGTTTTGTTTTCAAAAACTGTGAGGAGAATTACGGGAAACCACCACCGTGCCCGCGTTGTGTGTAATTACTGTTAGCATGTAAAATGACTTGTAATTCGACAGTGTACAATAATATAATTATTTCTTGTCTATCTCATTTTTGAAATTCAGCAAATTTGTATATGTAATTTCCAGAATGGACAAGGAAAAGTGGATGCGCAACTAATTTCTAACTTTGAACCTCAAGTAAGTGTATTTGAGACAACAATCTAATGGAATTATCATCAACATATATTATTAGCACACAAAACCTCACTATGCATCTATGCATTGCCGTTTCCTTCTAGCTATAGTATACAACTTACAGCTTAGACCTCCAGTAATGCCATCTCTGAAGCAGATTTTACATCACATCAGAGCCAAACATTGATAACTGAAGCCTCATTACGTTTAGGCAACACGTACAACTACAAAACAAGTTCACAACGAGTCCATCAGCTAGATCCTCTCGCCTATCAACGTTAAATTAATGAAAGTGACAGCTCAAAAGCGTCAATAATGACACTGTAAATAGAATTCATGTCTGAACCGTTAGAAATGAAACCAGGGTAAAAGTTGCAACTTTTCGAGTTTGTGGGCGCATAGAGTACAGACTGGATAGAATTGTGTCGATATGTAGGATACTATGGGACACGGAGTCCCCCCACAGATCTTCATACTCTTTATACATCAGTAGCTACTCAGCAATAATGAAGGTCTTAGTTTGATCCTGCATCGTGTGTTTCCAGCATACCCACCTATGAAATGTTATACCTGATGATTTCTTCGTATCGTCAGCGAATCATCTGCAGCGCATCACCGGGGTACAAGTCACCATGTTTATTTGCAATAGCACACACAAAATAACGATGAAAACAGTGGACAAAAAAGAAATATTTACCGAAAGACCTGGTCAAGCTGTGTAAAACATGAATGCATGTCACTTTGAAAAATTTGTACTATGACAATCTCGGCCTCACCTCGTGACCAAAGGATTTATGCCATATCCCTTGGGGATTCTATATCAATGAATCATAACTTTCCAGTTAAAACTTCCAAATAGACTATATTTTTAAATTATTTTACTTTGGCGGGTTACTCCTAGGCCTAGGTTTCTCTGAAGAGAGAAACAGTGTAAGTTCGAAAATACACGAGTACGTTTAGTAGCTAAATCACCTCCCTCCTCACGACTATAGGAGTACCTCGCTTTGCTAGATGTCCCTCGTGTAGAAGTTTTTCCCTAAACCTCTTCTTCCAAGCTGTTTCCCAATCTTCATCAGTGCCACATCTAACAGTATTCGCTGACCTATCCACGCGTTGATGTGTCTGATACACCATGTGTAAATGGTGCCCTTGTTCATTCGCTTGGTGATTCTCAACTGGCTCAATGTAGTATTTTACATTATCAATTATTATATATCCTGCAATATTAGAAAAATAGCGTCATTTTTAGATTCTCTCATTTTTTATAATTGTTCGTCGTCATTTTCAGGAGATTTCATTTGGCTTCATCTCTATGTTCCGTTCAGGGGAATCGCTTTCCAGTTGCACCATGCCGTCTCGTGGGCACTTACCACGGTACCGCGTGCGAGGATAGTATCCTGTTTACAATTGTAACACTGAATTTGAATAAAACACTCGATTTTGTGAAAGTTGGTTGACAGCTGGTGCTGTACACTAATTGGTTATGTCAGCTCCACGGGATGGAGGAGATGCGCGTTCGAATCCCGCCGGCGCCCATTTTTCCTTTCGCTCAAGTTGTCGTTTCCTAACCATATGTCTAATATTGATGGGCTTTTCGAAATTGGATTCCCATAAGGTCCATCGTATTGCATTATTTTATGATTATCTGTTCAAGTACATCTGTTGACATCAATGCTAAAATGACTGATTTTTAAATAATTTTTATGTTGCAGCTAGTTAAAAAGGCTCTATTCCTGTCACCTGTAAAAGCTGGTTATTTACTCATTGATTCATCTTATCGTGTCTATGGGATGCCACCGCACACTGGTCCATTTATGCGGAAAACTGACAAAAATCCAAAAAACAAAATTACGTAAATGAATGAAATTTATTGCCTATTTTAAAGTAATTACCATAAAGTCGTTGTTTATTTATTCATTTTATTTAATAATAAATTTTGAGCATGGAACTTGAACTGAAGCTGCCTTTACCATATTAGAATTTTTACCTTCACTTGTTTATGTATTATTTAGAAAGACGTTCAACAAGGTTATGCCCTTTACACTTTTAAGATCCGTGATGTTTGTGAACATTGAAATATTAATAGAAAACATCAAGAATCAGTTTTTACTAACTTTCACGATATAATTTTATAAGTATTATGGCAGGTGGTCGGAAACAATGTTTCTTAACTTTTCTTGAATTCATCTTTTGTGTGGCCTTAAAATGACGTTCAAATGCCTCTGATTTGGACTTAACGATCGCAAAAACCTCTATGACACGTAGCTGGATTGATAGACTTATTTTGAATTTTTTTTAAAGTGACCTTGAAACGACCATCAAATGCTCTTATTATAATTTTCTCTGATATGGACTCAGTGTCCAGAAAAACCGAATTGACATGTGGATAGGCTCATCTGCTCGGCTTCTCTTGAATGAGTCCTTGATATGACCTTGACATTCTCTCATAGAGATAAACCAATCAGCGACCCAAAAAACCTTGCTGTACTGAATATCGCATAAATATCTTAGAAATACTATTTTTTTTGATAGCTTTTCGGTGTTGTGGATCACTGTGCGTCGGCCATAAACTTATCTGTGAACGACGTTATGTCGACACTTCAGTCATCCAAACAGCATGGCGTCACCAGCAAAATTGATAGTGGGCAAATGCCTATAAAACCAGCACAAATACTCAAGAAGTACTTCATTTAATTTACCTGCCAATCCATCGCAAGTTGACAGTGCAGCTCTGGACCCTTCTTGCCCTCTTACTTTGCCCGTATAATGGCAAATCTTATTTTCGTCTAACAACCTAAATTGTTTGTCTTTTACCTGTTCCCTTGGTTTTCTCTTTTCGATAACTAAATAAGGTGAGATAAAGTCGTGGTTTGGCCATAGTTCTACGTGGTAGTCTTTTCCATTGTGATGAATACCATAATGAACCATTTCCGGGTCATCTGAGCTACGCTTTTTCCTTCTTTCTCGGTTATTACTAAAAATTGTTGGGTATTTTTCAAATTTGTTTTGTTGTTTGTTGGTAACTGGATCGATTTTTAAAACCAACCATAGTTATTCGCCCTTGCCATAGCAGTCACCTTGTATCAAAGTTTTATAAATATCTGGGCGATATTTTCAGAATTGATATGATGTAACATCCTAAATAAATCTCGATTTAAAAATTGTTCACGATTGCAATACTTTCTCACTGATAAAAAAATACCAGTATTTTACTGCTTTGGGTGATTTTTTTCTGGAAGATATTCAATTCGAGCTGTTCAGTTATTCAACCATTAACTTATTTATCCGTTTTCTGCAATATAATTTACTTACTTGTGCTTAAAAGTCTGGGGTAGTTTGAAAGACTCAAATTCTGCATTATAATTAAGTCTATGTGGAACTACCAGATGATATTGGTCAATATTTGACGTATACTTCCCATTTAGGGTACAATGCTTCTTTTTAACACCATGCAATATCGAAGCTGAAAATCTGGCCGAACACATTAGGAAAAAAAGTATTGTAAAATTAGGTAAATTCATTTGGCATAACAGACATTTTATGAGAGCTTGTCTGTCACTTTGAAATTTGCACACCTAGTAATTTTTAACGAAGCGGACATTTCTATTCGTCATTGTTCGTCAGAGCGGTCCAGTGGACATTTGCTCTTAGTTAAAAATCTCCAGATACCAAACATTTGACTACTCGAATAATTTTGTAACTTCAGAAATAATTTTAATCGGTTTTGTATACTGAAATAATTTTGGTTGGTCTGAAATTCACAATTCAATTTTGATCACAGTGCGAGGCGCGGGCTGGGATGTTTGCGAACTAGCTTGACTGCGTAGTCTACTGATTCACGCAACAGAGTGTTGCTGTGCGACTCCGCTTGATATAACACCACTGTCCCTGTTGTTTTACGTACATAATCCCTTATTCCCTTAGATATGGGATGTCAAGATATCTGTGAATGGTTTCATTTGACACGTACCACGAGGCGTTGGTAATTATGCCTAGGGATTCTGCAAGACTAACAGACTCGGCATGCACGTCTTGGCACAAGTCACCACCACCAAGCCGCGCACAAGTAGGTGTTTCTGGACAACAAAGGTTATAGCTGCGAAAACTAATTTGGAATTTAGTTTTCAAAATATCAGTATGTTTCTGCCAGGTCAACCCTTTGTCAATGATGACTCTAAAGTTCCATTCACTGATATGAAGTCAGTCAAACTACAAATGGGGCACCGCGACGTTTATTAGTACCAAAAGATTGCCTGCGTTTTCGAATTATTAATTTTGATCATCCACTGATCCACCCACTCCAATACTTCCTCCACCGCACTCTGCAGCCTATCGTGGACCAGGTTACCCGAACACGAGTGGGCTACTAGTGCAGTGTCGTCGGCATACAGATAGACTTCACAGTCGCTGGGGCAAGGGACGTCATGTATGTGTATAAAGGGAATAAAGGGTTGGTCCTAAGACCGAACCCTGAGGAACACCGGATCTTATGGGCCATGTTGTTGACAAAACGTTGTTAATTTTGATCTGAAACTTCCTTCTTTCTAGAAAATATTTCAACAATTTTACTAGCCATAATGGAAAGCCCTTTTGGATGAGTTTATACAAGAGGACCATTGCCACACCTTGTCAAATGCCTTTGATACATCTAAAAGCAAGATACCAGTCATTTTGATTAGGGTGAACTCCCTGGTTACATCATGCTACACCAGTCAAACTACAAGTAGCTCCGTACTGTGCTCGGACCGAAACCCAAATTGCACTGCAGAAATCACACGAAATTTTTAACGTGACCATAAATCACCTTTTCAGAGAGCTTAGAAGGAGCTGGCAGCATGATATGGGACGGTAATACTGGGGGAATATCGATCCTGTCTTCTTTAGGATCGTGATGACTTCAGCAGTCTTCCATGCCTCAGGAAAGTACCCTTTTCTGAGCATTGCATTGATAATTCCAGATAAGTCAAAGCCTTTAGCGAAAGCAACTTCAGTGCCTTGTTGGTGATTTGATCCTGAGCGAGGGTTCTTGAACAATTTCGGGGAGCGCTAGAAAATAGTTGATTTTCAAAGTGGGCAGTAGATGAAATACATTTGAGAACCTCTGCTCTAGAGCTTGTATGCTATGAATCCTTGGAACACGTTAAAACTTTACGTGCCCTACTGCGACGAACACCTAATTTTCTCGCCGTTTGTAGTGGAATCTGCGTAATCGCAGCTAACTTCCATTTTGCATCTCTTCATTTTAACTGACGAATCAGAGTTGTAGAAAACTTATTGTGAGACTATAAAAATTATAAAGCGCATGAGAAGTGCCGTGAGTTATTTGCGTCGTTGGTTAATACCTCGTAAACCGAAGCCACAAATATGGCTGCTGGCTCTTGTTGCTGGCTTCCCATCGTTGTTTTCTTTCAAGTTACACCCGTATCCCGATGTGATGGGCATATCTTTTCACTTCGGTGTTTTTGATGCACATCGATTTGGGCCTTATGAAGCCCATAAGCAGAAACGTACGTCGCTCGGGTTATCAATCCTTCTATTTCTGCTCCTGTTTCTTTATTGCGGATGTGCCCACGACTGCCCTCTGTTTTTGTTATCTAAGTTTCTGCTATACTACTTGTCTTTCTTTGTAAAAGCTTTAAGGTACGTTTTTTCATATGAGGCGAAACGGTCAAAGCTGGTCACGGAACAGGACATCTACTGCTACTGCATATACAACACATCCAAGAAGTATTTATCAATCCTTTTTCAGCCACTCACTTATTCATTTACAACACAAATGAAGTTATTGAGAAATACCATTTACTATCAGTTAAACTTCTAGGAAAACGATTTTATTTATGTAGGTATCGGTATTCAGACAATAAGCTACTTCACAGCAGCAAGCGAAAAAATAATGAGGAAGTAAAAAAGCCGACTCGTTTACGAATAATTAAAATCGACACTAATCGTTTTGAAGCAGCGTTATTGGCAGAGCTCGGCGGGAGCAACACATACGAATTATGCGTGAGCCTTTTCCTCGGTGATGCGTAATTATCTACTCAATCTTCTAGACGTGAGCGCAATTGACATTTATCAACAATGCCAAACGGTGTTGGTTCTCTCCTGGTTCAATAGTCCAGGGAATATTCTACAAACATATGACGCTACTTGCGCCACATGCTCATGGAGCGAGTAGGGGCTTCGAGTTATTTGGAGATTTTTTTTTAGTATTTTTCCTACGCTCCAGCTGCCACGAAGGACTCCTGATATTATCAATGACTTTATCCTCTTAAGCAAACTTCCGTGCTTCAGGAAAATCTTGGAGTTCTTCTATAATCGGTACGGGTATTACATATCTTGAAAAGTGTCATTTTTTTAGATTTCTAAGGTTTTTTGTGACAAAGTCATAAAGATGTTAACGTAGCACAAGCTGTTGTACACTTGTTGTAAACTCGTTTTGTAGCTGTACGTGTTTAAGGCCCGTATCGTCAGTCGTCCCTACAATTGTAGGGCGCCTTTATGGCCTCCTTGATTGTCATAGTTTTCTACTTCTCCGTGTCAGATCTCTATTTTGAGGTTATGTCACAAACATCTATTTGCATCAAATTGTGCTTGCTTTTGAGTTATATCATGTTTTATCAGCCTGAAATTTCCTACAATTTAAAAAGAAAACATATCTTCACAATAGGAGAGCGCTGACGCTGACACGGGACAAGTGTAAGCTAGAAATTTTTGAAGGAGAGAAAGGAGGATGACAATCAAGGAGGCCATAAACGCGCCCTACAATTGTAGGGACGACTGACGATATGGGCCTAAATGTCAGCGAACAGGGATCGTAGCCAGCAAACTTGGAATGAACTATTTGCACACTAAAAACTACCTAGTCTGCAAGATGACATTTCGTCGCTTTTTTTACGGTTTTTAGATAATACCCCTGCGGAAGATATTCATTATCGCATTGTGCTAATGAAAATATCTGCAGAAACGTTGTTTGGAGAAAATCGAATTTTGTACCCGTCTGGTATAACATGGCGAAACCGAAATGTTATACGGTGCCTTTCAAATGGTCTTCGTCCTCACTTATTTTTTTATCTACGTACATGGTTCTCCACAAGCTGAATCAATATCTATTAGATGAGAAATTACTAGGATTAGTTGAAATCTATGTTAGATTTAAACTTAGCTTTGGTAAAAGGAATATACATGTTAGGTGTGTTTCAAATTCGAACGTCGCCATTGGGATCTCGGAAATGGTAAAGCGAAAAGCGAATGTCACACGATCAATATTGTAGCGTTTTTCTGGGTTGTTTTGGGTGTGGATTAAAACACTGGATTCCACAAAAAGAAATGCACTAATTTATTTAACTTGAATAAGCATTTTTATACACCACTATATATGTCTGACTAATTCTTATGTCGCCATTGACTGCACTATACTCCACTCCGCTCTGCTCTGGTGTAATCTGTACTCTCTGCTTCCATCTCCCGGCCGCCGAGTTATATATAGTTCCAATTGCTGCTTCGAGAAAGGCCGGCACGGGTATCATGTAAAAAACCTACAAAACGTCAAAAAAAACCTATAAGATGTCAACTTGCAGACTAGGTAGTTTTTAAGGCGCAAACAGTGATTCCACGTTTGCTCACTAGGATCGTTGTGAACGTCCATCTATGAAGGAATCACTCAACTAAACTATACAGGCATTACTGGTTGCAGAGTTTTGTGAGGCTGAATGATCCGTGTCTGTAGTTTTTATCTCTGAGAAGAAAGTTGGTTGAATAACAAGATCGCATCTGGATGATTATGTGTATTGATCTGCATGTGTATAGGATCAGTGATATTTGCTGTGTGAGAAAATCATTACTAAATATGCTGAATATGACGGGTTTTTTGTATGTTGTGCTTTCTGAAGAGGGGTTACGTTCAAAGTTATAAATTACGAAAAACTGAGGAGAATTACGGGAAATCATCGCCGCGGCCGCGTTGTGTGTAATTACTGTTAGCATGTATATGGCTTGTAATTCGACAGTGTACAGTGAATATAATTATTTCTTATCTCCCTCATTTTTGAAATTCAACAAATTTGTATATGTAATTTCCAGAATGGATAAGAAAAAGTGAATGCGCTAATTTCTAGATATGAATCTCAATTAAGTGTATTTGAGACAAGAACCCAATGTAATTATCATCAACACATACAAGTTACAGCTTAGACCTCCAGTAATGCCATCTCAGAAGCAGATTTTACATCACATCAGAGCCAAAGATTGATAACAAGCCTCATGACGTTTAGGCAACACGTACAACTAAGTGCGAAGTCAACGTCTTGGCGAAAAACCTACATAATGTCAAAAAAAATCGGCATAATGTCACTTTTCAAGATACGTGCGGGTGAACCACAAAGCGACATCTAGAATATTAAAGGTCACTTCGCGTCGAAAGGCGATCCACTGTCACGGGCCTCACAGACGCCGCCAAGCGGCTTGTGCTGTCGTGGTTCGCGTAAAAGCAGAGATCGGCCATTAAGCTCTGGCGAGTAGGAGATTCGCCCAACAGATGGCGCCAACAGAACTATTTGTCACACTATTTACTGTGGTCCGTACCATCAGTGGATTCCTACGTAACATTATGCATCAATGATTACTGACATCTAGGCTACACGGTCAGTAAATATCACATTTCATGATGAATCTATTGACGGATCACAGTAAATTCTGATCACTGTGACATTCGCCTAAACGATACGCGGGAAAAGTTGCGCAGATAAATAAGAGATTGAACTTGGACAGTTGGAAATTAAAAACATTTCCGAATTTACTCTATATAAGTCGTTTTTATTTTTCCGGGCTTTTGTCTGTAACAAAACTTTTCAAACAACCACATTGTCCTCAAATTTCAAACGAATTACAGAGTAACATTACCCACATACTTTTTCTCTACACAATGGCATAGGTAATTAGAATCTCGATCTGACGTTTCAGTTTCAGCTTTTAAAAATCATACCGTTTTCGATGTTTCTATTACTACCCTCAAATAATATAAATGAGTTACATTATGTTGTTCCTCATTCAGTTTAAACCAACTATATGAAGATCGACACTTTAAATTTTATATCAATGCAATGTTATTTTCTTTGTGAAATAAATGACTATGATAATTTCAAGTCTTACTCAGGATTTTTTTTAATAATATATGATATGCTATAATATTTGAAATCAGAATTAAAATATATTCGCTTATGCAAAAATGGCATACATGAGAAAAATCAAAGTTGAGACGGGGATAAGAGACGAAAAATCATATTAATGTTCTACTTATGCCACGTTGCAGAAATCAACGCAATATTATGGTACAGTTTATTTTGAAATCCTATCTCAAACAAATTCAGAAGATTTCAAGTAATTGTATGAAAATAACGAATAAATATCGACAAAGTTAAATTATTTTCGGAATTAGTATAATATGCCATACCAAAGCTTTTTCCTTTGAAATGGCATATTAAAATATACTAAAAGATGTACGGTGTTCCATTTAAAAATATCGTTTCTGTTGTCATGTCGGAATGAATCACTCTGTAAGAAGCGGTATATTCCAAGTATGTTTTATAGTAATGAAGATTTTGTCCAATTACATACTAGAATATCACCCTGTATGTCTAATTTGTTGTAGCAGTTACGTCCTTGGATAGCTTTATCATTTTTTAAGATTTTTTTATGTTAATCACTGCAAGGGCTTTCTGTTGGCTACTATTTCATATTTAGTCACAAAATATGAACGATTTTTTGCAGTAACCAATCAACCATTGAAGCGAACTTGATATACCCGTAAGTTCTAATTTTGAAAGTGTTTTCATCCATTCCCAGTTGTTCTATAGACTTATAAATTTGATAAAAAGTTGAAAAAATGAGCACCCTGTTTGAATGTTGAGGGATATTTACGTCCAAAAAATAAGTACATATATAAAATTTGCAGTATAGTAAACATTTGTCATATATTATCTCAAGCGTTGCTTTTAAGTATTGCAAACGACTAAATTATTACTTAGAAACGCATTTCGCGTAATATTTTTCCATATCCATATGAATTGTCAAACTCTATAAAACTGGAGAAAACAATGAAATGCAAATACAAAGAAAAATATCAAGCATAGTTAAGTAGATATAATGTATATATGTGGAGCTTCCACCAAACATTTTTTGTTGTTTTGTATATAAAAAACTAACATGAAAACTTTATATTTTAGACAATGCTGAATATTATAACCTTCAGACCTACCATCAGAATTTTAAGTTAGTCTTGTTTTTACTTAAACTTTATCACCTAGTACCACTAAATGGGACCTCTACCCTACTCAGCGGATACGCAGGATTTGAAAGTACAAACAGGTTCGGCAGAGAATGGTGGTTGTTGCATGTTTAATGTGAATGAGGGATATACATATAGAGAGAAACCCGTATATTAGAGCAACAGCGTGTATGAAACGAGATAGACACCAAGTAGAATGTGTCTGTAGATGCATGCTTTAACATACATACGTGTGACTTCTGATCACGCCTCGCGTTTTGTCTTTCACAAAATAAGTAATATCTGGCAACTCTGGGATCTTACACTAATACACTTCATGGTCCATTAAGTAAAAAATGTTATAACATGACTGTGCTAAAGAAGTAGCCTCTGCCGGACGGTTTAAGTCCTCAGAGTAGAAGAATGTGACCCTGGCCCGTTATAAAGAAAAAGCACCAGGCACCATACATCGTATCGCCCAACTAGTCGTCGGTTACTAATTTGCTGGTGCCCGCTATAAAGCGCGATAAAGAAATTTTACATACATGGCATTTATTTTTATGAACCGTGTTCGTTCTTAGATTTATTCGAATCGCGAATGCGCAGCAATGAGCAGAACCAAAAAAGGCACCGACAAGTGCAGCCAGCCAACGGAAAAAACGTTTAATTGTTCTAAGTGAGTTTTAAGTGGATACGAGAGGCCTTTGCAAGATGCTTCCTGAGACCATTCAAGTGCATTGTCTCCCACACAATGTGACTTTACAAGGCAGATGTTGAGTCCATCGGCATGTGTTGATGATTAAACAAATATGTTCAAATAGGTTTTTTTATTTCGATAGAAATTCCCTGCACCCCTCACTATAACAAGTATGCAACGCTCAGATTATCATTGCAAAGCTCGCGTTAGTGAGAAATATTTGAACTCGATTTTTTTTAATAATCACATTTGTTGGATATGTCTCTTAACATGCATCAAGAGGTTGCCTGCCAGTAAACCGGTACGGATTTCTTATATAACATATTTTTTAAACATTTGTTGTATAACAAAAAAAAATGTTCAAAAGAACAAGTAATATAGCTTTCGTCAACCATGGATAGCTAATAGCTGTTTCGTGCTATTTGGAAACTCCTCAGCATGGTCTCGAACGAAAGCTGAGCAATTATCCTCTATCCATGATATAATGTATTTCGCATTAAGACAGCACTGAGCCTAGACCATGCTGAGTAGTTGCCAAATACCACGAAACATGCAACAAAGGAAAACTTTAATGTCGCCAAACTTCCTAGATATACTTTAAATATCTATCAACAAAATCCAAAAGCTTCCCAGGACTTCTTATGGAAAACCTTTATTTTTCAAATGTTGATCAAGCGTACACTTAATGTACAGGAAAAACAAAATTTGTCCGACGGACTGAGTTCAATGTGTACAGAGAGAAGCGCGAAACGTGTGTTAGAAAGAGGTAGACGGCGACTGAAGAGCGAAGGTTATCACCACATCGCCTAGCAATGGTGACGCAGGAAGTCGTGCAATCTGTCGCGTTGTCAATTTGTTATACCAGAAAAGGTTAGGTATTGTGTTGTTACATTAAGGTTATGCTTAAAATCCGAATCAATATTTTCAAACAGATGCCAAGATTCTATATGGTCTAAGACAACTTTCAACAAATCCCTTGTGTGAGTAATAGAGAAATATGACAAATGTTATCTATTTGTATATGTAGCATGACATCAATAATGATCTGAGAAATGAAGTGGATTCAAAACAGCTACATTAAAAGCAGTCTAGAGCTTTATTCACAAAAATATATCACACATAGAAGAATAAGATCATATAAAAATCATGGAAAACTTATAATTTATAATGCTAACAAAAATTAAGGTCCTTTAGATTAAATAATTACATTAATATAATGCAAAATTGTGCAACACACATCCTCAGTGGCATAAATCATATAAAAAACAAACAATTCACAAATGTGCAGATACACACAAATCAATACAGATAACAGTAATAACAAAGCCAATATAGTATGACTAAAAAGATTCAATATAAACTAGTTTTCTTCATGATCCTAAGAAAATCTTCTTGGTTAATTTCACCATCTCCATCCCTATCAGCTTCATCAATCATCTCTTGTAATTCTTCATCTGTCAAATTTTCCCCAAGCTCTTTTGCTACACGTTTCAAGTTCTTGAACGTAATTTTGCCAGTTTCATCATCATCAAACAAACGAAATGCTTTAAGTATCTCTTCCTTGGAATCTTTCTCAGCCATCTTCATGGACATCAGTTGCAGAAAGTCGTCGAAAGATATTTGCCCCGTGCCATCTTTGTCTATATCGGCGATCATTTTTTTGATTTCTTCTTTCTTGGGCTCAAATCCAAGGGCTCTAATAGCGACTTTTAGGTCTTTGGAGTCGATTTTGCCAGTTCCTTCGCTGTCGAACAGATCAAAAGCCTCTCTGATATCATTTTTTTGGTCTTCGCTCAGCTCGAATTTTGGGCCCGATTTCTTCCTGGGTGCAGCACTGGTCGGCTTTTTTGCTGAAGTTGATGCCTAGAAACATTGCGATTGAATAAGGAATGAGCAAAAATATATAGCTTACCATTTATGTAAGAAAATAGATATGATATGCAAGGAAGTGAAAAGATTTGTTTATATTTTGACAGAAAATGACGTAGATAGGTGGGGTGGAATTTGTTCTCGAACCTTAAGTCAGGCAACCAGTAATACACATGTATAGAGATGTGCGAAAAATCAATGTTTTATTCTATACTAAAGTGCGTCTCACACGTCCTGGTAAGTAATTCAAAAAAGTTCGCGTTTTTAGTCTTCTTTATCTACGAAGTTATATCGTAAATTACTGAATGCTTGGCAGTGTTCAGCAGTTCCCACATCTTACATCGTTATACTGCAGACGTCAAGAAATAGGTTTGTATGTTCCGTTATACCCATCACTACAGTTATAATTTGATCCTATGAAAATGTTGCGTGTTGGTAGTTGGTACCCATGAATGTTGACACTCTTGAGCCTTGACGACAGTTACTTGTCAAATGTCTCTTTTTGGCAGGCGATATTGAAGGTACATGTTACTTTATTATTTTTAAAAGTTTGATCCTCGATTTTGCATTATTTTTGACTCAAAAAATAAAAAATATCACTCGTACAATTAAAGAGCAATATTCCAAAATCTTTTCGTAGCCCTTTTGGTACCGGATTGAAGTGATAGTGCTAGATATTTACAGATTTTTGAAGTGAGGTTAACTGAGGAATTTGAAAAGTAACAAGGTTTTTTCAATTTCCTATGAATTTACGAGTTTATTTGTGAACTTTATTTCAAAATACAACCTTAATTTACTGAGGTCAGCAATTTTCTGTTTCAGATGTCGTCTAAAATAATAAAACCTGGGAATGCAGCCGCAGACGAGTTCGAACTGCAAGTGGCCCAGGCTCTTCTGGAGCTGGAAATGAACTCGGACTTGAAGGCCCAGCTGAGAGAATTGCACATTACGAAAGCTAGGGAAATCGAATTGAATAACAAGAAGGTAATGTTTGTTTGTATTCAAGAAATCGAGAATACAATAATTGAATGCTTCAAGGCAAAAACTGGTTCCAATGTCCAAAATAGAGTATTTGTTTCAACATAGCCATACATTTTTGGTGTAGTCAAATACTTTTCAGTTTTGTATGCTCTGTATGCTGTACACAAACAAATAGTTCTTCTCTTCCAAACCATCTACTCTTATCATTAATTAACTAGTTCTTGCATTGGATTATTTAAGTGAGTTGCTTAAATAAAATACATTTTCAACAATGGTATATGATTCTATACTGAATCTTGCTCTGAAATTCAAATTTGGTACGAGTTTATGAAAGTGTTCTTAGTTATTGTTGGATGAGCATTGAATGGTGGCCAATAATTTACTTTGAGATTACATTGTAGCTTGGATTGTTGGTGATAGCTATTATTTATTAAAATAACCCTCTGAAATCAGCTTTTGCACATGTGATGATGATACTATAACCTGTAGTTACATTTATAATATGACACAATGGGAAACTATGCAGGTTACCAAAGTTTTAATAATAATAGCAGTTTATTGTCCAACAATGATAAAGCACAATTTAAGCCTAAGCTCTAAGCTTTCCATAATTATCAAATCAGTAACAATATTCAATATATTGTTCAAAGTAGTCATGATGTATTATAAATGACAAGTATTTCAAAAGCCTTGTTTGAACATCCTACAACCATTTGCCATGACACCTGTAATGTGGGTTCCAAGCTACAGAACTAACCTTGATCCTACATGACAGAAAAACAAACTTGAATGTGAAGAAGTTATTGGACTTATTACAGGGTCATACAATAAATCCATATTTTTTGTTAGCTTCAGAGATTATTTGATTGATGTTGTCATTTGTGAAGTCAAGACTTGACCCTTGTGGAACACCTGAAGTTGCTATTTAACTGTCAGACACAACCCCATTATAATTTACTAGTTAATCTATTTTCTAAAAATGAAATCTGTATATATCTACAAGTCATGCTTATTTGTTAAAGAACACAGATTTATTCCCCCAGCACAGTGTGATGCATTTATGTAGTGCCATGTATAATAAATTGCCTTTAGATATTAAGCAGATTACCAGCTTATCTTTGTTCAAAAGTATACTTTGGAACCTCTTACTAAATAAGGCTTTTTATAGTACAAATGAATTTTTGTGTGAGCAACACTTTATTTTTATGTGTTTCTGTATCCCAATTTTTTCATGTCATATATTAGTTATCCACATTTTTTCTTTTTATTTTGACATTTTGTATCCTATTTACAGGCTCACAAATAAAGCATTATTCTATTCTATATATATTACATCTACTTGACAACCAGAGTTTCAGAGAGATGTGTGAATGGAACAAAATTAGTTTTAGTGGAGCTGCCATTAAGAAAACCATGTTCTGATGGTACAATATTTAATTAAAATTTTTATTGCCTATTTTGAAGATGGACACAATTTTAGTGATTTCCCACTTGTTCAAAAAGTATGTATCAACAGATGAAACAGAGTGCATAAAGGACCAAGTTACACATACATATGTACAGTCTTTGACTATAAAAGAAGGATTTTCATCAGTACTAGAAGTCTTTTTTTTTTTGTCTCTTTGACAAACAAATGATTACAGCTTCAGTAATTCCTCTATCTGGTATCAATGACAAACTCAGATTTTCTTAAACATGCTTGTTATCTACACTAAATGTAAGTAATTTACAAAAATGCCACCAAAAAATATATTAACCAGATCTTGTGGATTAGAGAGTGTTGCTCCATCATGAGTCATTTGCCTTAGAACTTTGAAAAGTTCAGGTGTTTCAAAAAACCACTCAAATACATCAGCTCCTGTATATGATGAGGTTCAAATTTGGCTGACGTAATGTGTACGAGAGAGAAGTGTGCAATAAGTATGTTAGAGTGCGCTGATGGCAATGCGGCAAGCTGCAGCTGCGTTTGTGCCATCGTCACTCGGGTTGCGAGGCAACCAGGTTCTTCTGTCTCTTTCTAACACACATATTCCGCACTTCTCTCTCATACACATTACTATGTCAGTGGTATATGAAAATTCAGCAGTACTATAAAAAGCACCACTTCTTGAATATTGTCTTAACCAGCTGTCAACCAACCAGTATCATTGAAGTTTGTCTTTTCTAAAAACTTGATAACCTTCAGAGAGACAATTCAGGACAGTATGTAACCATGTTTCAGTAAGACATTATATTGCACTCAGACTCTCTGATGTAAGAAATAAAAATAATCATTTTGGTGTTTATGCGTATTTTGATATATACATATTTATTCATCTAGACTGTTGGCCGTTGGTTGTTTAGAATCAACAACAATCAGGTACATATTGCATTTGTATATGTGATTGTGACATTATCTCCTTTATGTTTTCTTTTTCTCATCTCATACTTCTCCATTTTTTGATCTGCACAGCAATTAGTTGGCTTCCAGGTAGATTTGTTTTCCCCTGACAATACTCCTCTATTTTTTAGAGCTGACAGCATCATGCTGCATTGAAAAATTATTTCCTTTGTCCCATCTTAACAGAATCGGGGGGCACACTGACTGGGAGCTCCTTTAATTTAACAGTATAATAAAAAAACTGGAAAGCACAAACATAAAATAATAACTTTTTTGTTTCAGTCGGTAATCATCTACGTGCCCATGCCAAAATTGAAGCAATTCCAAAAAGTGCAGACTCGCCTGGTGCGAGAGCTAGAAAAGAAATTCAGTGGCAAGCATGTGGTATTTGTAGGCGAGAGAAAGATCCTACCAAAGCCGACAAGGAAGACCCGCGCAAAAAACAAGCAGAAGCGCCCTAGATCTCGTACACTCACGGCAGTGTATGATGCTATCTTGGAGGATTTGGTTTTCCCCGCCGAGATTGTCGGCAAGAGGATTAGAGTCCGTCTGGATGGATCCCAACTGATCAAGGTGCATCTAGACAAGAATCAGCAAACGACGATTGAACATAAGGTGAGATTCATGTGAAGATATATGATCAATTAATTTTTTAACATTTTTTATTTCAAAATACGGGGTAATTTGTGTCCCGACAAAAATTTTGTCATAACACACCTAAAATGCAGTAGCCTAAAGACTTTATTATCGATTGTGATAAAAATGCTGTCACGCAAAAAAACGATACAAGTGACAGGGACAAACTATTCATATTTTCAACTGTTTGTTCCAGTGATATGGAGACAATAGTTGCTAGCGATAAAACAAATTATATCAGCTGGACGACAAACATGTATAGGTTAAGAAATTTTGCGAACTCAAAATTTATTTTTATTTAATTATATATGTTTCAGGTCGATACATTTGCATCTGTTTACAAGAAGTTGACAGGCCGGGAGGTTACTTTTGAATTTCCTGAACCCTACTTATAAGTTTGTAAAATATTTAATAAAAATGGTTTGACAAAACTGTCTTATTTTTCTTTTACACAATCCTAAGATATAGATGCTTGAATTGGCTTCCATGGATAAAAAATCAAACATTGAAAAGTCGAAAAACGCAATTCAAAATGGAACGTTCAGGGTATGGTATAGCACAGAGGGAAAACAGTAAAATTTACTACTACGTGTTGTGCGTTTATGCCATTATGGCAACGCAGATCAAAAAAAATTTCCGTGAGGGGGTGAAACATCCCCCCATGTTTCCACGAAAAGCTTATTTTGTTTGGATTAGTTTATTATATTCTATATTACGTATTAGATTTGGCTTTGTTGAAAAGCAAAGCGTCCTCCTCCACGCGTACACTGGGACTTACTGAACGGATTTCAGCAGCTCAAGGTAGTCATTCAAAACGGTGGACCTTGTGGTAGCTACCGATATGCAGCGCCATCTATTGGATAGTAGCCGCTACCAAAAAATTCGTTCAGTTGAGCTACCATCCCATAGATGGCGCCTCTTTGTATAGTGTTATCACAGACCACACAAAATTTAACTAGTCAAAAAGAATCTTTAGGGGCGGTTGGTCGGGGTTTGGGAGGCTCTCTACGGCAACGCATCCTCAAACACCAAGAAACTTAAATTTCCGTGAGGGGGGTTAAAACTCCCCCATTATTGTGATGAAAACATTGTATTGTTATGTTTATTATATCTAATATTACGTATTGATCTGGCTTTGCTGAAAAGCAAAGCGTCCTCCTCCTCACATACACTGGGACTTACTGAACGGATTTCAGCAGCTCAAGGTAGTCATTCAAAACGGTGGACCTTGTAGTGGCTACCGATATGCAGCGCCATCTATTGGAGAGTAGCCGAATAAAACGAATATATCCATCCGTATACAATTTTCAACTGATGTTATGAATTATGTGTATTTTCAACTATAGTAAAATACCAAAATTGATGAAAGTAGCGAAACTCATCGTATGCCACTGCTATTACGCGGAGGCCTTCGAAAAAAAGGTACAGCGTCATAGCAGTGGCGCACGATGACTTCTGCTACTACCATCAATTCTGGTATTTGACTATAGACAAATGTTAAAAACTAACATAAAACTCTTAAAATACTATACTCAAAAAATCCTACCAAATACGAAGCTATGATGATGCCATCTGTAAGAACGTAGCGGAACTAAAAATATAACTTAAGGTAACATCACAAATACAGATTTCTGTTCATCTCAAACTTTATCGTTGAGAAAAAATTCGTTCATAGAAGTAGCCACACTGTGACAGCATCAAATGCAAACAGCCAATCCGCGGGCTAATCTCATTCCCGAATTTGTTATTGCTCCTAGTTCTTCGGTAGTCTTCTATCTTCTATACCTGTAAATAAGATGTTATCCTTATATTTAAAACTACTGAATTCTACATCCTAGGAGTATTGGGCAGTCAATTGCTTCACATATCGTCAGCACACTGCAAAAACAAGATAACTCAATTTTTCTACTCTTTTTGAGTGGAATACACTTTCAAACTTATAGGTGTTCAGAATAAAACTTTTTATTTTCGTATATTCGACTTGTGTATTTGAATAACATTTTTACGCCATTAAAACCCATATTTTCCGACTCGATTAATCAACTGATGTCAAACATGTAAATTCCAATTACCCAAAATTTATTCCGGTTCTTGCAGTAACCACCGATATGCCTGTTAATAGTAAGGTACAGGTAATTTAAGAGTGTAAAGCCGACCTTATGATTTCATAAAATCATTTAAGAAAGGCATATGGATGAATAGTTTTTATTCGGCTACTCTCCAACAGATGGCGCTGCATATCGGTAGCCACCACAAAATCCACAGTTTTGAATGACTACCTTGGGCTGCTGAAATCCGTTCACGTTCAGTAAGCTCCAATCGTGCAGGGGAGGGATGCTTTGTTTTTCAACAAAGCATGATCAATACGTAATATTAGATATAGCAAACTAATCCAAACAAAAAAATCTTTTCATCAGAAAATGGGAGGATTTTTAAGCCCCCTCACGCAAATTTTAGTTTCTTGAGCTTCGAAGCTGCGTTGCCAAGTTGCCTTAGAAGAGAAAAGAGCATGTTTCCCATGCTCCCATATGAGTTGACTCCCCATGTCCTACATCTTACAAATATCAATCTCTCTCGGCTTTCGTCTGTTGTTCCGTGATCTTGATTTCGAGGTACAAATGAGCAGCATTAATCCGTCAAACGGACGACGGCGTTGTCAAATCACCTCAAGCCTCAAGCAATTTGCTCTGTTTTTATCCACTATTTTTTCAACTAATCACTTATCATTCCTGTTTATTCAAAATAAATTAAGATGAAATAAAAATTACAGTGCCATTCATATAGGCATTGTGCATACGCTTCATGCCTACCAGTTCCGGCAGTTAGTGCGCTAGTAGGTTTTGGTAATAAAGTAAGTCACAAGCTAGTACATAGTACGTTCACATGCAATCTGTCATTTTTCTTATATTAAATTCAGCAGTTCAGAAGTAATTCTGCAACTGTCTTTGACCTAAATGACATATTTCAAATCAAATTCTAAAATACACATGTCAGTTTGGCAATATGGCTCATAAAATGACAGATAGAACATGCTCACACATTATTCTCATAACCCGCTCTAGACACCAGTCGCGAAGATGTATAAATACACGATACACGACCGTAACGTAAAAGGTAATCAAATAAACGTCATTTTTATACTTAAAAGTGACCAATTAAGAAAAAGATGATTGGTCACGTGGGAATAATACTGTTGAAACTGGGCAACTTTCATCCCCACCACTCTATTATCAATAAATACATACGTCATATTATATTTTTCTGTGACAAGTACATGACAGAGGAAAATTTTTGAGCTTTCTATTTTAATTAAGCAATAATTTAATTCTCTCAACTGTGCAGGCAGTGTTTTTAGTGAGTGAGAAATGTGCAGTAAACAATACATTAGTGAGTGATATTATGGACTCAAAGCCTCAATAATGTCACTATCGAAGCCCTACGAAAACAAGTTACAAAATGCATCCCAAATCATTAGGAACCCAAATGGATTGATTAGCAGTGGCAGAACAGCGCCTGTTTTGCCTCCCAGGCCTATGAACTCTCCAGCAATACCCTTAAGTAACACAGGGTATGGCGGGGTAACTTCATACATGCCATATTCAGGTAATGTTACCCACCAAGATAATCCCAATTATGAGGGGTCAACACCTGACCCCACTTGTTTATTTGTTGAAAAATGCTGAGTATATCATTACTTATCACACACAATTAATATCTTTGCTTTATGCAAAACATGTTCCGTGTGTCTGCTAAAGTCATAATTATTATCAAATATTTTTGACTGATACTTTGTGTATTTAACAATGTGAAGATATACTGCCTTTGCAATTTTCAATCAGCTGCATATATTTGAATGTCTAACAATATTCTGACTAATTCATTATATTTTTATCTATAACCTAATCAATGAATTTGAATATCCACTGTTTATGCAGGTCTTTTGAATAATATAATATTTTGTACTTGAATGCTTACATTGAGAACAAGTAATTATAGTAAAACTTCTAACAGCAGAAAATTCAAAAGTTCATTAATAAAAAATATAGGTTAAAGTTTAAAACAGTATTACTGTTTTTCTACTACTATTATTTTTATTTTGTATGGGTTGTTGAATATATAGAGCCCTGGATAAAAATAACAAACTAAAATTTGGTGTCATGAAATTGAAGCAAGATGCTAAAGTAACATTAGCCTAATTTTTCAGAAGCTATAAAATATGTATATTTCAAAATTGCTAAAGAATTCAAAGTAATTGAAACTAAAATGCGTATTTTCAAGTTCCTTTTATTACTTGTTCCATCTGTATCTTTGCCCATAAATATTTACTTTGAATTGTTTCTATAACACTTCATAAATTCTATACATGGTGATTCACAAGTTGTGACCAAAAATGATACATCACACACAGGAAGGCATTTTAAGGGTGGTCTTCTATGTAACATTTTTTCTTCAAGAGCTTCATTAAGAAGATACAGGGTGTTGAAGTCGAAAATAAAAAAACCTCCTGTGTATGATGTTTCATTTTTGCTCAGGACTTGTGACTGAATATTTGAATATTCTAAATGTCTTAATTCTTGAGAAACAGCATGGTTTTCAAAAATAAATCATAAATGTTGCAATTTATTTTCATTCGTTGACTGTTGATGTGTCAATTTTTTTAGAAAATATATGCAGTATTTAGAATATATGTTCAAATTTTTAATATATTGTAGGTCTAGGGGGATATGGGAGCTACAGCTCATATGGTTCATATGGCATGCCATACCGCAGCACCATGTATGGCTCCTTTGGAGGCTACAATGGATACAATTCTTATGGGGGTTATCAAGGAGGTTATGGGGGTTATACTAATGATGATCATGAAAGAAGGTTCATCCAGTATGCTGAGGAAAGCTCAAGAAACACATTTGCCAATGTTGAGAGTATTGTGAGGGCTGTCAACAGTCTTGCAATGATGCTTGACAATACATTTTTTGCTATGACCAGTTCTTTTAGGTAATAATAAAATAACATATCAATACAAAAACATTACATAAAAAAATATTTGTAGGTACTGACATATTTTATGTTACTTGATGAAAAAAAAAATTAAATTCATGTATATTGTTTTCTTTTTCAGGGCTGTTCTTAGTGTAGCAGAAAACTTTGGACGTCTAAGAAGCATGTTTGCCCATATTTGGCACTCTATCAACATATTTAGGTTTTTCACATGGTTGTACAGAAAGATGTTGAGAACATTTGGTTACAAAGTACCACAAAGCATGACATCAGTAGCTTGGAAACAGGCAGCAAGTACTACAGGGGTTCCACCAACACAAGCTAAGGGTTCTGGATGGTCAACATTAGCATTTTTGGGGATGCTCATTTCAGCGCCTTATATTATTAGCAGATTTTTGCCCAAATTTGAAGGTAAGTGAGGATAAAAGAATATACGATAATCAGAATTAAGACTAGAGTTGCAACTCATTTTTAAGCATCACTTGTTTAATTTTAACAAATTCAATATTCTCATTGCACTGAACAAGATCACCTTTGTGATTGAAACTTTTACTACAGTTAAAAAGATCTTAAATGCATGTGGTTTTTTTGGTCAGATAATCATAGGGGGCTATCAACATGTGTACTACAGGATGAGTTTAAGATGTTACGAAATGCAAAAGCATGATTAATGAATTCTACCTGAAAATAGCCAACCTAATGCTGTATTTGCGCGTCTCAAAAATTGTCCTAAATAAAATGAGATACTGCAGCATAATTTCCTACTTCCTATATACACTTTGAGATTGTAAGTGTCTCATAGATGGCACTATGAGTATATAGAGAGCGCCATCTATGAGACATAGTCCTTTTCAAAGTATATATAGTAAACAACAGAGAAACCCCGTGACAAATTCTCATAGATGATGCTACAGTATCTCAGTATAGCATTAGGTTGTCTACATCCTCAGATAGAATTAATCAATGGCAAAAGCAAATACTGATGAAAGATTAACTAATGATTCATATAATTTTCAGACAAAGGCGACCCAGCGAACTGGAAATCTCCTGGAATTAGAGCTAAAGCAATATTTGACTTCATAGCAACAGGACCCAATGAGCTTACAGTCCAGACCAATGATATGGTACTACTAGCCCCTACCTACATTCAAGAAGAATTGAATCTCAAGAACACTGGCTGGGCATATGCAGTATGCAAAGGAAAAGCAGGTGTGGTGCCCCTTAACTACCTTGTTATCAGCAAAACGAGACCTGTTACCAGTGAACCAGCTGAAGATGTTCCAGTGCCTGTCCCCAAACCTAGCAACATAAAAACGCATACGAAACGCGTTAGTTTTGGGGAGAACCAGATTTTTGAAAATGTAGATATTGATGACTATATGCTACCTAACAGAGAATCTAGTCAAAACAGTGTAGTTAAAAAAGAGAAAAAGGTGGAAAATAGCCAAGGTGGTGGGCAACCACGTTCTAATGAGAGTGAGCCAAGTAGTAGTAGCAAGAATATTGTCAACAGTGAAAATATAGCTACACAATCTACTAATAGTAATAATCAGTTATCTTGTGATGAAGTAATTAGTCCTAAGGTGGAAAATGATTATGAAAAGGTTTAAGTTAGTTTTATATTGTTTCCGCTACAGCTTACTGACAAGTAATGTCAAAAATGATATGTGGAAAAGTGCATAAAAACATACTAATGTAATTTTTAGTTGTGGTTGTCCTTATCTCAATATATTTGTCTCTCTAGTCATTACTCTTCTTGGATGATTATTTTTTCATTAAAAATGTAATTTAAAATTTGTTTATTCATAATATATGTTTAGCTGAGCTACATATATTATTATTTTTATGTCCAAATTCTAAAAATTGAAAACAAATGACGTGTACATGCACCAAAATAAAGACTGACATTATCTGATAGTAAACTGTGGCTGATTTTATTTATGTGAATTTTGGATAATAAATTTTAATGTATCTTCATAAACATCATGTTTTATTTAGCCAATAATTTTATTCAGACTTTACTTTTCCTGCTTCTGCAGTCACTTCCAAAATATAACATATAGAAAGTCAGTGGTAATATAAGCTCAAAATTAAATTTTCACATATTTTTTTATGTTGATATTTTTATTCAAACAATGTTGTGGTCTCATTTATCAGGCAAATAAAACATGATAGCATCATTTTTAAGTGGTGGTCAGTGCAAGAGAATAAAAAATCTTATCCCATACCTGTTTCCTTATGTATAATGCACATTAGCAAATATTATGGATTTTGCAGCTTAAAAATCATTTTGCCAAATTGTTATAAATTTGTTTCAATTTTTTATCTCATATTTATGATGTTGTTTGGTAAGATTTCAAGTGTTTTTAAATTGGTGTAAACTTTTGTATTACTATCAAATAATGAATATATGTGGTGATAAAGTCTATAAATGAGCGTTTTCATTTTTTATTTTTATAAATGTAAATAGCCTAGGTATTGGAGTAAGTAGTACAACTAAAGCAATACTATTAATTGCATTTCATTTGTACTATCATTATCATAATGATTTTGTTATCTCTTTTCTAAACATAAATTGTTAATATAAATCGTTTTCTTGAGTTTTGGCTTTTATTTGAGCATTTTATTCGGTGCAAATATTAAATTCTTTCTATACCTTACACTTCATTGTCTTAAAACACTAGGGTCTCCGGAATTCATATGGTAAGGACAATAATGTGGTAAGCTGCTATAAAATATCGAGGTTAATGTAAGGTCTGAAACTTAGCCTATGGTTTCCATTATGATACACCCCCATGCTTGTCTGGCCAAATTAAACCATATATGTTTAAAATTCCTCTTTATTGTACGACATTTCGGACCCAATGGTGACCTTCTTCAAGTAAAATTGACACTTGACAATATATTTTATTTGTCTTATCTCTAGATAACACTTTGTTTTTGCTTTTTCACATTCCTATACAGTGTGTTACTACAATAGCCCTGTAACATACTGAATTGCGCGTTTAGTGTTTTCCGAACCAGATTTCAAAGAGCATCAATAGAACCCTTATGTGCCTTCTATATTCGCCATAAGTAGTCTTTTCCTCTTCAATGGCTCTCCAGAAATTCGAACTCGGGCTTCGTGCGCTTTACTTCTCACGCCTACTGGCGCAGAAGTATTGTAATCGAGATTTTTTTTTCTCAAATGAGATATGCTTTATGGATGTTATATGACATTTACATCATGAAAAACACATGTCACTAATTTCCATCGGTCTGTCTGCTAATCTTATAACCGCCTAGACTTGAGAAGTACCGCCCGGATTTCGATGAAATTTTTCAACAATGTTACTACTATGCCAAGGCCGCTTGCTAGTTTTTGAAAATCGGCCCAGTGATCATTTTTTAAAAAATTTTATAGGTAAAAAACGGGGGTGGGGGTTGTAAGGGTTTACCTCAATTTTTTTGATGCTGGTACATTTATACGCTCCAACGTTGATAATTCTACGCACTTATAAGACATATTTCACACATCTTAGATTTCTCTGTACATTAGCCCCGAACTTGGAAAAATACTCTCGGGAGACGGATCGCCTCACGGCCGCGGCTGCTGCTGGCGTCGTAGGCCGACCGTGGTGTGCTCTGGTATGGAATCGCACGTATTTCCGCGCTAAAACGGTGCCAAGTCTGCCCGAGTTAGGTATCGGGAAGAAGCGACGTTTCCAGATGCACTACCTGTAAGGCAAAGAAAGAATGTCTATGGCCCTGTTTTACTCAGAGGGTCTAGTTTGTGCTGAACATATTCCTTTAGCTACTGATAACGCCGTTGCGTGGGAAGTGCAATCCTTCCTACTTGACGCCATTTTTATTATTGTGAAACCGGAGTTGGTTCCGGCAATTGATAAATCGGATTTAGTTCAGCTTTGTCAGTAGCGGAGATAAGGTCTCATGGGCCCTGGTAGGGGGCCCCTAAAAGAGTCAAGCATTCTGTAATGAAAGGACCCCCGGGCTGAAATTCGCTGGTAAATCCGACTCGAACGGAAGGCAGAACTGAAACGAGTCAAAAGGGGCAGAGCGAGTTTAGTATGTATATTGTCGAATTCATTATGTCTCCAGTACTGCCATCTCAGAAGCGTGCTGCAACATAGCGTGTTTTTTTGGAAAACGCCGTACGACGATGTATATTTCTCATAGATTTTCGCATTAAAACAAACTACTATACTAAACAACAATAAAATGAGCATTAATAATGGACAGCAACAAAATATTTGTATGGTGTACTACATGATTGTTGATATTATTACCAATATGTTCATTAGTAATCATAGAGCAAATTAAGACTACTATTATTGACTTCAAAATTGCCTGGTATGCGTGACCATGCAAACAACGCGTTTACTCGATTTAACACAGTCGCCGATAATTGAGCGAGTGTCCACTTTACCGAAAGTCAAACAAACAGAACCAAAAAGATCACTTAGATCTACAAAATCAGATTCTTGGGTCCTAAGAATGTTTCTAATTCCTTACCAGAATGTTGCCATATGGCTTGAACCTCGAAAAGTGAGATATTTATAGAGGTTGAATTATACACCTCAGGCTTCAGAAGATACATTTTAGTTGGGGAATTTTGTGTTTGCACTGAACCCTAGCACAGTTTGAAGAGAATTAATCCCTCTCTCTATAACTTTATTAAATAATTACAATGTACACACTTTGAGTATTGCTAGATGACCTACTGGTAACTTTTATTGTACCATTCTACTAACTACCTTATTTCTCAAAATCAATTGACTGGTGGCAAAATATTTGAAAATGTTTTGGAAGATAATTGGGAACTTGAATCTTCTATTATTTAACACCATAAATGTTGCATTATTATTTATATAGATTTAGAAAAATTGAGATTTTTTGTAAGTCCTGAATCAGAGACAGTTTCGCATGTTATAGATTCTCTTACAAAGTGAAACTCTTGATTGTTTTACTGATTTAATTCAAGAACCTATTTAAATAAGTCCTAGTTAACATGAGAAAAAGTGAGATGGTGCATGTTTAAATATATATTGATCAAACTTACTTAATAGCAATTGTGTGGAAATATGTATGAAATGTTAAATTATTTTCTGAAATGGTTTTCTATATTTGCTCTTTATTACAAGCATTTTTTTATGGAATATTCAAGTGAAAATGTCCATTTCTGCACCTTTCTTCACCTTTTAAGGACAAAAATTTTGATAGTTATTTTATTTCTAGGTCCACACTTACTTTATGAGATGCTAGGTGAAATTCAGATTAACTTAAATTTTTAGTAAAAATGGTAACGCTGAGTTTTACTTATGAAGTTTTGAAAACTATAGCAACAAAGTAAACATAAACAAATTGTCAACTTAATTATATGCAGGGGATGATACTTCTGTGGAAGTAACTTCATTGAAACAAAAATAAACTATTTTACATTTCATTGATTCACATCAACAGCACTTTCCTTAAATAATCAAATGATATTCAGGAGGGAAACATACAAATAATAAGAACAAAATTTATTACATTTAATCACTAGTAAGCCTACACTTTGCTCCTTAGACAGGAGCCTTATGTACAAGGTTGAACCAGTGGCCACATTCACATCTCTTTGGCTCGCCTTTGTGCAGCCACATCCAGTTTATGCTGGTGGCCTCCTCCTCGCACACACAGCCCACCAGTCTAGAATCGAAGGCAGAGGGGATTTCGTTAGGTTGGCTCTTGGTGCCTGGGCCACGCTTGATGACTTTCAAGTCGAAGGGGTTGTCGTTGCCTGCCACTTTGGCGAGCAATTCTCGTTTCTCCAGACCGGTGGCGTGTTCTATTGGGTCGCCCATAGACACTGCAAAAGCAGAATAGGTTAGAGTAGCCTTTCGTGACCACAGGTTGCTTCTGGTGGTTCAAAAGATACTTCTATACAATTTATCAGCGATACTGTATAGCTAAGTGCTGTTTAATTGTATTTTTGTATAGATCTTACGATATATTTCTTCAATTACGTAATGTCAAATGTGACATTAGGGAAGTACTTGGGTGCAAGACTTGGTAAAAACTTGAATACAGACTTACCTTTTGTGCAGTATCTGTAGCTGGAGCACAACACATGCCTTCGGGCTGCTGTTGCAGCAATTCTTCCGCACAGCGAAGCCATTTATAAAATTATTTTTGTAATTTTCGGTTGTCGGGTGTCACGACTCCAATGGATTTTGGATTGCCAATTTTCGACCTCCAAAGCTTGGAACACAGAGTCCGGAAAAATACCCACAAAATACCAATAACTGTCACTCACACAACGAAAGTGTCACAGAACGCATTGATTCGAAAGAGGTCTTTACATCAATTTCGCCATTTTCTTCTCTATAAAACGTATCACGCGTAGTGATAAAGTATAAAAAACCTACATACAAAAAAAAAACGACAAAAAGTCAACATGTGAACTAGGTATAGTTCGCTTGCTTACAAATGAGCATTAGTGAACGACAGATAGATCCAACTTAACATATCGTACGAAAAACCTACATGTCAATTTTCAACTTACGTAATACCCCTTGCGGGTCGAAGTGGAACAAACGTGTCCTGACCTAAGGCCTTATAAATTTCAGTTTTTAGTGATACTAAAATAAAAAATTGCTATATTCTGAAAATCATGGAAAACGAGGAAAGTATTTTGTATTGGACCATTGGACGAAGAGAGCAACATGGCGAAAGGAACACTTGTATCTGAACCAATTAAAGTTATCATTCTTCTATGTGATCTATCCATGACCCTATGAGCAAATGACAGTGACAGACCATATGTTTATTGACGTTGACGTTTTTTTACTGTTTATTTTATTATTTTTGTTTGTAATTAATCCCTTTTCGTTTTTTTCATGAAACGAATATGAATGATGTAGAAAACCGGCTGGCGGAATATAGACGAAGAAAGCAAAGGGTAGAAGTACGAGAACGGGTATTAAATAATATGAAATCACTCCTTTCTTCATATAGCAAGAAAACCAAACCAACCGATCTGGAAAATGAGGTAAAACAGTCACGAGAACGTAAATTATAATAGTAATAACCTCAGAAGCAATTATATTTTAGGGAGAAACTGAAAAGCTTTGTGATTCCAATGAGGAAACCAAAACGGAACCTGTTACTGAAAATGAAACCATATGCGGTAATAGTGATATTGGAAAATCAAATCTTATACTAAAATCAATTTATTATATACTGTGTTTTACTTGTTGGGGTATCCTGTATGCTGTATTTATACAGCTACAATTTGGAACTGTATTCCTCATAGTATCTTGCCTAGTTGGCATGTATTTAAACACTGGGACTAAAGCTCCTGGTGAGGTTAGTGCTTACTCAGTATTCAATCCAGATTGTGAAAGTATTGATGGGACTCTGAAAGCTGAACAGTTTGAGAGAGAGATAAGATATGGTCACACAGCTGTAGGGTAATATGCTTAAGAATGAGATTTATTTATGTAATATTTAATCTCTACCTATTGTTTTTCATACTGTTCATTCTAGTGTTCTCCAAAGTGTGGGTTGCAACCCCCTGGGGGGTTGCGATGGGGTACTAGGGGATTGCTTGAAATTTGTAAAATTATGAATATTTATTTTAATAATGCTGTAAATAAAAATTAACTAATCATATTTATCATCTTAAAAACGTTTTTAACAAAGAGGGGTCACTCTTGAGTTAAGTTTGGGAAACACTGGTTTAGATTGAAAAAAATATATTGTATATGTAACATAATACAATTTTTTAGTAATATGAACTTGTTTTTTATTTAATGCTTTCTATTGCAACAGTTGATTTTCAAAATTTAGCAACTTCAAAAGTATACACTTCAACTTCCTTGTCTCATATGTTACAGTTTCCTTACCATCCGGTGTATCAGTATCCTCAAAGAAGGATGCATTTGCAACTGTTTTGACTGTCTTTCCATGCACTGAAAATTATCTTTATTTATAAAAATGAAAATGTATTTGCCTTATTTATGATAACCTTTGAACCTGATTTCAACATGTTGAACTATCTATATACATTGTCCAATCATGAATTCCCAGGATCTACAGATTTTTTCTATTGGGGTTTATCTGAATATGTACATGTAAGATACAAAAATAAACATTTCATAAATATCAATACTAAAATATGTTTTTATTTATTTAGAATTTGATTTTTAATGTTCTAAAAACTTATGGTGCTCATTCAACATTGCAAAATGAACAGCACTGACCACCAAGTCTTTATAATATTTTTCACTAAAGCTGGATACTGACAATGCCTAAAAATATTCTCTGCTTTTCCTTATTGCTTCCAATAAATAATATGTTCAAATCTTGTAAAATTGATGATTCATTCATTAGAGGCCAGAAAAATATGAACCTCATAGTTTGTACATCATATACCATTTCATAGAAATGGCAAAGGACTGAGAAATTAACCAAGACCATTACTAATAAATATCTTTGTGTAGGAAATGGGAAAGTTAATAGATTTCTTCACCCATTAAATTATAACTTACATTCACAGTTTTCTAAGAACTGTATGCATTCCTGTATTACCGCATCTTTCATGACAATCATATGTTTGGTCATGTTTTCAATGAGACTCAAAAAGCACCGTTTTGTGTAGAACCACGTGTCAGTCCCAAGTTTTTTATTATAGGGCTCCAAAGATTTCATTATGCGCGATATACCAAATTCGTAGTTGCCCTTTGAACAATACAAAGTCCTAAAAACGAATATTATAGTAAATTTAAATATATCAGTAAAATGGAACTGACAAGTGATGGCTGGAAGACATCATCCTAGCATTTCGATCTCATCTAAATGTTTATAAGATGATTTTTCGATATGCGATACACGCATGGCAACCATACACAAGTAAAAACTATACAGGGTTTGTCCGGAAAGTAATAGGACTGAGTCGATTTAAAAAAAATTATTGAGCCAATCGTTACAATCCTTTAAAAACTTTCAAAATAGGCTCCTGCGTCGATGCAGCGCTGTCAGCGCGATTTCCAAGCATTGAAGGCGGGTGGGGGGGGGGGGGGGCACATCTGGGCTGTAGGGCGGCTGCGGGCGCGTTGGGATGTCGACCTTTGTCAGGTAGCTGTTCACGGGGCGTTGTCGTGGTGCAACTTCCAGTCGGCTGCGATGTCTTGTCGGACCCGTCTGACCCTTCGTTTGAGTCTTCTGAGCACTTCCGCGTAAAACTTGGCGTTGACGGTTTGTCCAGGAGCAACAAATCCATGGTGGACGATGCCTTTGATGTCAAAAAAGACAATGAGCATCGTTTTCACTTTGGATTTGCTCATTCTTCCTTTTTTTGGGCGAGGAGACGCCGTCGTGTGCCACTCGGAAGATTGCCTCTTTGTCTCGGGATCATACTCAAAGATCCACGACTCGTCACCGGTGATTACGTTATTCAAAAATTGGGGGTCATTTTCACACATGTTCAAATTTTCTTGGCACACTTCCACTCGCCGCAATTTCTGGTCGTCAGTGAGCACTTTTGGGACCATCTTCGCGCACACCTTGCGCATTTTCAAATGCTGTGTCACAATGTCATGAACCACAGATTTTGGTAAATTTAACATCTGGGCAATTAAACGAATACTTAGTCGACGGTCTGAGTTCAAAACTGCGCACACGAGTCACATTATCGGTGTTTGTCGAAGTCGAAGGTCTTCCAGCACGGTATTCATCAGCGACCTGTTCCCGGCCCTCCCAAAAGGCCTGGTGCCACCGAAACACACCACTTTTTGCTAAAGCAACACCTGGGTAAGCCTGCTTGATCATATCAAACGTCTCTGTCACAGATTTACCGAGTTTCACACAGAATTTAATCGCGTACCTCTGCTCTAACGAACGCTGCATTTTCGGCTTGCACCGCTCACAGAAACACGTCGCGCGAAAATGCCTGTCCTGACTCTCCAAGTGCTCGGAGACAACTGACCAGCCGCTCATTCGTTAGCTAGGAACGCCCTCTACCGAATCCAGTCGGTGCGCGCACGAAGTACAGTCATGGCGGAAGAAAATGAGTCCTATTACTTTCCGGACAAACTCTGTAGGTTTTAAAAGCCACATACTAGAATCAGCTGAATTTTTTGTTATCATATGGCTAAAAATACTCCCGATCAAGTTACCTTCCAAACCAGAAAATAAATATAGTTGATACAATGCCACGCACTACGCACGTTAAACTTACAATAACCTTCTTTTGTGGACGGGGGTTCAAAAATCTGTTACATACCCTATAACGAGGTTGACAATGCAGTGATGGAAATACTTCTTGTCAGGTTCTTCGAATGCGATTTGGTCTTCTTCCTTCTCTATTTTTCTCATCAGTTCTTCTGCTTCTTCGTTCTGTGACGTCATGATATAGGACACGCATAGATTCGCCAAAATTATTGGATTAACATTCAGGATCTGTTAAAAGCACATCATCAAACCAAATATTGTTTATCAATTCAATTCAATTCAATTCAATTCAATGGACTTTATTGTAACACATACATAATTATGTATCCTTACAAATGGCGAAGTCTGGCCAATGGCCATTTATACTTAACCATAAATGTCATGTCAATGCTTATTACTACCTTAAAAATAAAATAAAAAACTGAAAAAGAAAAGGAAAAAGAAGAATAATAGTAAAAGAAGAATTAATAAATATGACATAATGCGTACGATTAGAACAAAAACAACGTACGATTCAAAGAGAAGCTCAATAAGTAAGTAGTTCTTATATTTTTTTTTTATACAAGTTGCTGATGAAACATTGTTCGAAAGAGTTGATCAATTTCACCGCATTATACGTAAAAGACCGTTGAAAAATGGCTGTCCTATGTTGTGGCATTGTCAGGAGATTAATGTTGCGCGTATTCAAATTGTGAATTAAATTCCTACGAACAAGCTTTTGCATAAGATAAACCGGAACAGAAGCTTTTAATATTTTTACGACAAATTTAACAAAGTTGTATTTGAAAAGATCAGAAATTTTCAACCAATTTATTGAAGATATTGAGTGAGAAACATGATCGTACCTTCTTAAATTGTTTATGAAACGACAACATGAGTTTTGAATTTTTTGCAGTCTGTATTTTGTGTATCAGGCAGATTAAACTCCTAAGACCAGGTTTTTTGGATCAAAATACACCTAGCAAGACACTGCCAAAAAGTCAGGGAAATGTAAATCACGCTGTTACCAGCTAAGAAGTTTTGGATGCCTTGTCAAAGCTTCTCTTCCAACTCATTTTGATCCAAAAAGATTCGTCACATATTTTATAGTTAAGTGAAATATATTTATAAATCTCACATCTGAGTAGCTTTTTCTAACCAACGGTTCATAAAAACCAGTGGCCTCTTTGAACTTGTTCTCTTGCATAAATAACACATGAGCTACGTTCAATCTCCAAATATCGTTGTCATTACAAAATTCCACACTTTTCCTAAAAATCTTCTCGACTTGTGCGTAATTTCTCAAGTTCCAGTATATCTTTGCTTGTGCCATAAGTACCGGAACGTACCTAGAATATTCCAAATCCTATCAGATAAAAAAGTAAGTTGACCCTACATTTCCAACAGTTCATAAAGACAGTGAGAAAAAGGTTAGCTCAGAACATATAAACAATAAAATTAAATGAATCAAGTCAGTCAAACAGGCCCGTATAATTGGTCCATAGGGAAATTTTTCCCTGCCATACCGACAGTATGGTCCATCATACCTCGTCGCTCGCTGCAGTCACTGGGCAGCGCACAGAGACCAAAGACCCGTGTTGAAAATATTTCTAAGTTTTAAGGACAAATATACTATTTCTATTTTTAATAGGGCGAGCTGAATTACCGGGATTGGAAGCGTGTGAATATACTAGCGCCAAAAGAATTGCGACATACTCTCACCCCTTACATACTACCTTAAATTTCTAACCCCTCCAAAAATGTTTCAGAAAATCATTGAGCCTCTGAAACGTAGAAAAAACGTAGTTTGAGCATTTTTCTTTGTTTTTTGCCGCTAGCTCTGTCGCCGCTAGATCGATTTTCAAAAATTACATAGCTTTTTCATCATTGGAACAATAACAACCTTGTGAGAAAAATTCATCAAAATCATGTACTGACATTTTCCAAGATTTACGATTCAAAAATACGTGTCAAGGACAAAAAGTGATGTACATTTTACCTTTCTAGACATTCTTCATATTCTATAACGGTCTTCTTGACCAATTCAGTATCATTTCTGTTTCGATGTTCTTGTACCTGCTTAGTGAGCTTTCTCAGTTGTTCAGTATGACGACTTGCGAGTTCGTCCAATTTCTGGTAGGCATCATTTGGTGAAGTTTGTTGTGTTATGATCGCGTCCAAAAAGTCATACAAATACTGAAATTTGTTCAATAGTTGAATTTTATTGAACTGTATCGAAATCAACACGTGTTTTTAATCTGCTGTTTTTATGGAAAAACATGAAAAATATCATGAGGTAACCTGTAGGATATTATAATAATACAATCATCAAATTAGTGCTTCTGAATGCCAAATTCTCTACTTTGGGGACATTTGAGTAACAATTTGGTTGTAAATTGCCATTTTGATTCCCTCCGTGCCAAGCTTAAGAATAGATGCTACACATTTTGTGAACACCCAAAAAGCTTTAAGTATCGAACGTGACTGTAGTAGATGCGTTAGATCGCACATTACTCAAATTTAGTCACAACTTTCAACTTTAAGATTGATTAATTGATATTGTGGAAAATCACTATTATCTGTTATCGCAACACGATATAAAATTATAGAGACCGAGGAATTCTACTTACAGGTGTTAAGTATTTATAAGTGAGATGAGCATTTTCCGCCAATATCTCGGCAGCTAGATCATGAAAATCGTGTCGGCAATACAGCAGCAATATATTCGCGAATGTTTCTGGAGGAAAAGGATTTTGTTGCAACAAAAATTGCAACTTCTCAAAGCCTTCGGAGGGTTGATGTTCAAAATTCATCAATGCCTGATTGTGTAAAGTTACTGCGTCCAGTTCGTATTCGGCTCTTGGCGGCATGTCAGTTAGGGCTTCCCTTGCCGCGTCCACTAAAAAGAAAAAAAAATGGGGGATAGATTAACCCGATACTCATCTTCAAAACTCACACAGCTACAAACAAAAGTTTTTTCGAAACAGACGCGCAAAAGAACGCTAATAACGGGTGATTTTTTAAGAGGTATAGGATTTGATTTTCAAACAAAACACAAAAATTTTGAAAAAACGATTAAATCTTTATTTGAGTCGATAGAACGGTCGATATAATTTAATGTTTAAAGATTATTTCATGTAAATGTTGGCCGCGGCTCCGCTTTAGATGGCCCATGCGCAAGGTCCAATTTTGGCACACTCTCTCCAACATATCGGCCGGTATCTCACGAATAAATGCTTCAATATTGGCTTCCAGTGCGTCAATCGTTGCTGGTTTATCCCTGTAGACATTAGCCTTAACATGGCCCCACAAGAAATAGTCCAACGGCGTTAAATCACACGATCTAGGCGACCAATTGACGGGCCCCAAACGTGAGATAAACTGTTCACCGAACTCGCCTCTCAATAGGGCGATTGTTTCCTGTGCGGTGTGTGTTGAAACCACATGTCAGCCAAATCCAGCTCTTACATTTTGGGCAAAAAAAGTTTGTTATCATCGCACGGTAGCGCTCGCCATTCACAGTTACGTTCCGGCCATTGTAGTCTTTGAAGAAGTACGGCCCGATGATACCACCGGTCCATAATCCACACCAAACAGTGATTTTTTCGGGATGCATTGGTAGCTCTTGCAATGCTTCTGGCTGGTCTTCACTCCAGATGCGGCAATTTTGATTGTTAACGTACCCATTCAACCAGAAATGAGCTTCGTCGCTGAACACAATTTTTCGATAAAAATGTGGATCTTCCTCCAACTTTGCCAGCGCCCATTCACAAAATTGGAAACGTTGTGGGAGGTCGTGTGGCTTCAATTCTTGCACCAGCTGTATCTTATAAGGTTTTACACCCAAATCATGTCGCAAAATTTTCTACGTAGTTGAGTAACAGAGGCCCAATTGCTGCGAACGGCGGCGAATCGACATTTCACGGTCATCACTAACACTGGCGGATACAGCCGCAATATTTTCTTCAGTCCTCACTCTACGTCTGCGTGTTGGTGGTTTACTGTCCAATAATGTAAACTGGGTTCGAAATTTAGTCACAAGCTCCCTCAGTAGGCCGACCAAATTGCCCATAAATTGGAAGCAGTGCTCGATGCATTCTCTTAATCGAGCATGAATTTTGATAGTAAAGATCAATAATTTGCAAGCGTTGTTCGTTCGTAAGTCGATTCATGGTTAAATTATAGACCAAACTGAACAAGTTTGACCATGACACAAGACACGATTCACGCGTCATCTGTCAAAAACAGTGTTGCCAAAAAGATACTAGCAAAAAAATCACCCATTATTTGGCGAGTGATTCATCAGGGAGACAACAAAAGGTTAAATTTCAGATGTGACATCATACTCACTGTTTTTCAGTTGATACTCAATGGCCGCTTTTAAATTGAAAGCTTCTGTTAGTGATGTTTCGTGCAAAGTTAAAGTATTCCCCACAGATCTTACTTCTATACCTTCAGTCTGCATTCCAATGCTCAGTTCTGGGTGATCTCTTATACCTTTTTCGATTATGTCAGCTATAAAAATCGTATACGTGAATTTTCCCACAAAATTGTGACAAGCCACTAACAGAAAAAATGTTTGACCTCCAAAGACAAAATCAAAACAAGGTGATATCTGATATAGAAAATTCCGATCAATATTGAAAATGAGAGTTCATAAAATGGTCACTCACCACAGTACTTCAGTGAAGGTCCATATTCTTTCATTCTATAATAACAGAGTGCGGCGTTGTAAGCAAGATAAGGTTTAAAACCTTGATTCTGCAAAGCGCTGGTGAATTTTTCCAAAGCCTCTTCATAGTTCCCATCCTGTTGAATTAATAATTTAGTACGGAAAAGCCAATACACGAGTTAAATATATTACAAGTCCAATTTTGGTAACCATCTAGCAACCTCTAAAAATACATTATTGAAGGTTTTCTATAGATAAACCATATATATGTTTGTATCTTCTTCTGAGGTCTGATTATACATATGGTGTCCCAGAAGTCGACGTCAACCCGGAAACGGGCGATAGGCAAGTCATACAAAATATAAAAAAAATCTTAGTCGTGTACCTTTCAAATTATAGGCTTTAGAAAAATCGGAAAAATGGGATAAATCTACACTCTGTGATGATCTTTTAGTTCCCATTACTACAAACTTAATTTTTTTTATTAGACAGAGTGACGGATAGTGTCATTACGTAGTGACAGCAAGTCAGACAGCAACGCCACTTTTCGTGAATGCATTTATTAAACCTTTAATCTTTCCGAAGACCCAGACTTTCTAATTAAATGAAATGAAACTGACCAGATTTTCAAAAATTTCTAACGCAGGGTTATTAACACTGACCAAAAATAATTTAAAATCGCTAATCGATTTAGCTACGTAAGTTATTGTAAGTGCAATGCCATTTTTTAGATGTAAGATGTATTTTAAAATACATACCTACCCATAAAAAAGATTGACAAACCATTTACACATAACATTTTATACAAAATTATAAAGATGTCATTATACGTATAGGGTATCCCATTCTTAATCCTTTTTCTGTATAAAAGTTTAATATAATAAATTAATGTCACTGATACACAAATGTATTATTTTAAACAAATTTACTTCGATAAAAAAGTTCCTTTATTCGGAGCCCTAAAGGAATTTCAGTTTGAAAAGCTACAAGCGCATTTTCAATTATTAAGTCTGAATTAATTTAGATCCTTTCAACCTGTGCAACATATATATATATATATATATATATATACATATATATATAACGTTCTATATAATACTAAAAGTATCATGTAAAATGGATAACACAAAAAAAGTTGGGCAAATATTGAAAAGAAAACGCTCCAATACAATGGATTTCATACCGACGAGTGGAACATTTGTCCCTGAGTGACGTCATACGCAAAGCGCTATGAAATTCGATCGCGAAATGAGCATATCTTCTTGAGTTATGGAATCATGCAGTTAATCACTTATTTCGTATGGCATTGTGACGTAATCGCAAAAAAATGAGGAAGACTATACGTCAATAGATTCTCAAGGTTTGTTTATCCAATACCCTGTATATTTATAGTAAGACAGCTCAATAATCATTGTTGTAAATTAATACTAGGCGACACAAGATCCGTTGTTTACTTACACACCCCATATAGTGAAATGGAGATGAGATGTATGAAACGCCCAGAAGCACTTGAAGTGTGGCTTTATTGAAAGCTTCTAAAAATATTAGGAGATTGCAGAGCAAATGAAACGGTTTTAAGGAAAGTGCAATCGTCAATCTCCAGAAAAAGCATGATAATTTCGGCACAGAGATCGTTGAGAGTAGACATATCAAAAAAAGCAGACAACATATATATGTTGTAAAAGCACGCAAGAGTACAATTCTGAATATTACTATACATATAACTTTACATTTGGTTCGAATATGCTTTTAATTAGGCTCAGAAATAGCTAGTATTGGAAAGAAAGACAAAAACTAAAATTCAATTACATCGCAATAACTAAAAGGTAGCCATTGTATTTGGTTATTATTATTATTAAATGAAAAAGTTTCCATCAGATGTTAAAGGTGCTCGCTCACATGATCGAATGATAAATGATAGCATGCGCACTAAAGCGACTTTAAGTGAAACGACGTATCACGTTCGATGTGTTCAAATGAAAAATCTCGCAGTTTTTATTTTCGCCTCGCTTCGCCTCAGTAGGCCTGCAGCTTAAAACACTTGTCGTCTACGTAAGTTCTTTAAGTATAAATAACGCATTTTGACCTAGAAGATTATTAAGCAAACAAGATTTTTTTTATATTAACGAGTTTTTGATCTTATTGATGATTTCAGAATTCTATTAACCTTTAACGATACAGTGAATGGAATCCATTAAGTGTTTTTGAAAATTTATCGAATTCTATGAGAAGTATAGACACAGAATACTTCCTGAACTTGAGGCAGAAATCAAGAGGGTGGGTCCTTGCACTTTGGATTATTTTAACACGATTCTGTCCATCAATGACTTTCGAAAAACAGTTTCATTTAAAAAATACAGGTGCAATTTTTTGAGTAACATTATTAGTTTATTAATCTACCATGTGTTTTAAAGTGAGCAAACCAAGCTACAGCACAAGATTTCAATCTGCGCGAGATAGAGACACCAGTGTAATTTCTTTAAAGTTGAATTTGGTGAATTCACTATGGCTGAGCGCCAGTATTTATTAGAATATGAAAATCTTTGGTTAGGTCTGCTCGTTGTCCAAACTTAAACTCCGTGGACTATTCCTTACGGGGCGGTTTAAAGTAATTTGTTTACAGAACTCTGCTGGACAATGTGGAAAAAGACAAGCGAGTATGAGGTTATCTGTCGATTTTTTAATGTACCAGATACGTCACCCTCGCCCATCGTTCCGAAAATGACAAAAGCCCTCCGAAAACGTGAAAAACAGAATTGTTGTCATAACAAACCTTTTAATGCAACTGCATTTTCTATTACTCCGAAACGCGAGAAATAGCAGTTCGTCATTTGAAGGGAACTAATTAAAAGAAATTATTATACTATTTTAAAGAGTTCAGCAGTCAGCCGGCATATTGAAATCGTAGATTTCAGCTAAAAGGATTCATTCTGCACCAATCACTGAGCTTCACATATAATTTGTGCAGATAAAAAAGCTATTTTCGATTATTTTGTTCGTCCTGAAAAACGAAATGGTCACTCGAAAACCGTAAAAGAACAAAGTAACCTTGGAATAATCCAGAAAAGCACTATTTGCATTTGTATTGCTGCTTCATAACGGGAAATCACTTTTAAGCAAATAGCTTTTGTTGCTTCAGATATTTTCTTAAAAAAAATGATCAATACGCTAGATGGCTATTTTGGATTTTCCTCATCTCAAATCTCGGAAACTGGTGTGCAGTAATAACATTATGCGCTCGCTCATTTTGGAATTAAACATAATACAGATAATATCTTGACATATTCTTTTGATTCCTCAAGAGAACTTATGATATATTTTATGGTAATTCCTGGTAGTTTCTAGCCCGTTCCTTACAAGTGAATCGTCATCAGTATAATTTTCTATAATAGGTACCGCTTAAGGTACACCACGTTCTCTCTGGCGCATTCTAAACGTTCACCTTCTACCCATTTACATAGATGCGGAAAATGACTAAAAATCACCTTATAGAGAAGGCATCCCAAGTTCACGTCCCTGTCAGGGTCGCTGGATGAGCAAGCGTTCACCAAATTTTTCGCTGAAAGGACGTCTTCTTGACTGTATTTGATCGCCGCTTGCAGTTTCGTCACTCGTTCTTTGTAATCGGGTTCCTCTGCTAGTTTGTTGCATGCCTGATAGGCTTCTTCATACATACAAGCTGAATATTACAGATTTTCGTTAATTAGTCAGGTAAAATTTTATGGAAAAGATGAGGTAGATTGACCTAGCTTTACGCTATGGATTAAAAAAAATAACTTTTTTTAGGTACGCAGTATTTCTCTACTTTTGAAATGTTCACATATTTCCAAGTAAAGGTGAATTTGACCATTTGAAGGGTCATATGAAAATATACAGGGCACTCCCGTAAAAAAAAAATATTTTTTTTCGGATTGAATATTGTGAAGCTTATATTTGAATTTTATGCACCCTGTATATTGGATGTTTTGAAATATGGGCGAGGAGGTATAATGAAGTGATTTAGGACAATATTCGCCACACACATACAAACGTAAATAAATAAAAATAAATAAATAAATCTCTGTAACGAGCCAATTTTGTGGCTACATTTGTTTAAAAATAAATAAAAAGCCATAATAGTATACAACATTTTTTGCATACCCACTGGTTTCTGAGTCAAGGGAACAGGTCATCATGAACAAATTGTTCAACAAAAATAAAGAAGTTGAAACTAAATGTCACACGATTTTTAGTGCCCAGACCATTTATGTGGCGGATATGCGAACTGAAATAGGTAAACCTTAAAAATTCCATTTTTTCAACACGGCCTGTTAGCTTTTACCAAATGTATTGTTGTTGATTCCAGGATTTTTTTATTTTCATTGAAAATGGGAGCTAAATAAAGTAATCATAAAGATGGATTTATTATTACATTATTTTCAATTGTGTTATGCAATTCCTAGCCAGTTCAATTGCTGCCTATAATTCTATATTGCTCATTGTTTGAATAATATCAAGTGTATGTGGAGAAAATGTGTGCCATATTTGATATTTGTAAAAAAACACCTCTAAACGGTATAACAGTGCAGTCTAAAAAACGTATAATAAGTGCAATCGTAGAATTTATCATAATTACATTGCACTGCATACGGTAGTGCAAGTAAACGGGATGTGAACACTCGGATAAAAATGAAATTTGGAAAAATTCGAATCGATAAGAAACGAACATGCTTGATACTAGACGAATTATACATACTTAAGGGAAGTACGTGGGTCATTATGGATAATTAGATTCGACTTGACTGATCATTAAAATCAGATCGATTCAGGTCAAATAACAAGCTAAGTGGATGAAAAGTAGTACCTAAATGCGTGTACTAGGAGAAATGTAAGTAAGGGTGAATTATTGCAAAAATAAATGAAGTAAAAGGTGAAATGAAAGGGTGGTGCCAAGCAAATCGTTTGATTTTAATCCTCGAAAAGTCAGATGTACATTTTCATACAAACGCCCCTATTCTAGCAAATCATGAGACATCTAAAACTACGACATTATTTGGAATAGAAATGGATGCAAAGCTGAGTTGGCAATAACACATCGACAGTGTGTGAAAAACGTTGAACCAATCATAGTATGCGATTTTTAAGCTCAAGTTTTGCTTATCAGACTCAGCTTTACTAGATGTATATTATGCTCTCGTCCACCCACATTTATCAAGAAACATCATAATTAGAGGGCAATCAACTTCAATTTCTAGAGCATTTGTTCAACAGAAGAGAATAATCGGATGGATATTCAACATTCGTAGAAGATAATCCTGCAGAGTGATCTTCAGAAGTAAAAACGTCATGACTCGACCAAGCATTCATATTTATGAGTTCGCCCTTTTGACACATATAAACAAAACAAAATGTATACAGAACAAAAACATCAACACACATTATACTACAAGGGCAGGTATTCCAAGACACACACTGACGCTGTTCGAGAAGTCACCGGAATACACCTGCATCAGAATATATAACAAACTTTCAGCTAACCTCAGGAATGATCCTGTCAGTAATATTGCTAGTTTTAAATGTCAACTACGAAAATTATTAGTTGAAAAATGTTTCTACTCTTTGTCTGAATACCTCGCACTCTGATATATTTTTAAAACTTTTTTTATATGTGAATGTCTGTACGCCTTAAGTTGTTCCTGTTTGTACTTTGTAAATACTTATGTTTGTTTTGTTTTTACTTTTAATTAAGTGTACTATGTACCTCCCCCTTAGGACGAGTCTTATGTCATTTTATGATCTACAAGACAATAAATGTATCTATCTATATTACTCTACTTAAAGTTTCATACATTGATACCAGACATCATACTTTACCCTTTACTTACAAATGATATAGTACTCGTACATGCATAAACTACTTTTTATTCACTTAGCAAAATATACATCAATTTGAAAAGTCCAGGATTCAAACCGTCAGCGTCAATCTACCTGAGAGATGTTTCTAGATTCAAAATTTAAAGCTACCTTGGTACAGTGATTGAATATGGTACAACTTGTAATCATTATCTTCAGGATACATCTGAGTGAGTTGTTCATAGTAACTGGCAGCATTCGCAAAGTCCTGAATGTAAAAATAACAGTAGGCCAATAGGCTAAGTCCTGCCCTAGTGCTACTCGATTCAGAGATGCCATGAAGTATCTTTATCGCTTCGCTAAATCTGTTATCCTTTATCTGGAAAGCAAATTAGGTATTTATCTAGACTTGGAGCAAAGATTAAGGGGGATAATTGAGTTTTCAAAGATTTAATGGTATGTGGATGATGTCATCTATACTGTAGGATTTGAAGACACGACACAACATAAAAGTTGTTCTTTGATTTTGACGAGCATGATCAAATAAAAATTAGAACATACCCTTATACCCTATAAAACCCCACAGCCGAGCGATTAGCGCGTCGAGTTGCCAATCAGCCGACTCGAAGGCTCGCGGGCTCGAATCTCCGCCTCGGAAGTTAATTTCGAGCAATGGATATTGTGTTGTCTACAGGGTGTTCCGTAATGATATGCGAATATTTAACGGTGTGAATCTACATGAAAAATTAATATTAGTTAAACCTAAAAATTATTTTTGCATTGAAAAAATGCAACTTTATTAACTTTCACTAGGTACTAAATATCAGTGAAATATCTGAAGCGGTTCTGAAAATATTAATTAATTTCCATTTTTTTCCTAAAACTTCAACACCTCCAGTTTTTGGAAGGAAACATTTTTGGACCATAGTTTATAAAGCAAACTAACATTAATTTTTCATGTAGGTAGATTCATACCCTTAAATATTCGCATATCATTAAGGAACGCCCTGTATATTACGCACCTGATCGGTGCAAGATCAGCATAGGTACACCGCATCGTTGAAGCTGGCTGATTTAATCGGTTACCAGTAGGTGGCTTGTGGAATACTTCGGTATTGATATTACGAGTACCTGTGTGGTTTGTCTCTCGGATTCATGTAAGACATTAAAAAATAATGTACTGAATAAATTCCTACAGAAAAACATCTTACGAACATACAGGATCACGGACTCCTGGACATCCGATTTTCTTGCATAACTTCTGAACCACACTGTACAATTTAACAAAACTTTGCTAGCATTGCAACCAACCAGGATCTCACGTGATAGGACATAATTATATAGCATCAATCGTTTATAAGGTGTCATTAATCCTATCGCAGAACTGCTAAATTTTCACACCCTATATACTATACTATTAGCGTAAGGGACGTGCACCCTTTTTTCGCTTTTTTTTTCTAGTACCTGTTTGCAACAGTTATTCTAAATGCTTTTCATCTGATTACTTCATGATGTGTATAGACATGACTAAAAGACCTCGTTTTTAGTCTTGTTTTGTCATAAAATGCATTTTTTGTGCATTTTATTGTGGACTTTTCCTTCGATCGTAACTTGTTAACAAATATTAGTATAGCTCTGATATTGTATGTGGATATTCCACTTTTATGGATGAATGAAACAGGTGATTACTTTTATTCTTATCACTTTTTCTCTTTGAAAAATCTTTGCTTTTGTTGAAAATTCAACTTGCTGCGAGACGAGGCTTCAAGAAAATCAAAGATTTTTCGCATCGCAAAGTAAAAAAGTAATCACTTATTTCAGTCTTCCGTAAAGGAGGAATATTCACACACAGTTTCAGAGCGGTACTTATATTTGTTAACAAGTTCCGATTGAAGAAAAAATGCACGATTAAATGCACAAAAAATGCATTTTCTGAAAAAAGAATGAAAACATTGTTTTTTAGTCATCTCTATGCACACCATGAAATTATCAGATGAAAAGGATTACTGCTGCAAACAGGTAATATGACGTACTGTGCGCCCCGCTCCACCCCCTTTTCGGGACTAGTGCACAAGTTGATATTTTACCGGTTTTCTGACTTTACATAGCTTTTAAAATAACCCTGCTTACTACACATACAAACTTTCATTGACAGCGATTGTTTACGTAATATCCCTGTTAGTCTAATCATATTAGACGAAAATACCCCTTGTTTGCGAAATAATTGTAAAATTGATATTTGTCGACTGTTTTTTCGTTTTCTCGAGTTTATTTTCCAATATTTTGAACTCGCAGTCGTTTTAATCGTACGAGATTTCGAAAACAGACGTATACTATTCTAAAACTTTTAGAAAAAAGGCCCAGGGAATTATATTTATTCGTAAAGAAACTGGATTACGTAAATTACTTATTTGACACAGTCATGCAGTCATCAATAATGCAGCCATTCAGCACATGCTACATACTAAGTAGTCTAAGACAGTTGGAAACATAATTGTCTTCATTTTGCGTGATAACAGTTCAGTGTATTTCAATATGAAACATTTATTTTTATAAGCTTTAGGGCCCATCTGTGACCGTGTAAAAATTTCAGCTCTAAATATGTATACGCAAGAGTATGAAAAAATCCTGAGAAAAAAAAATGTTTTCTTCGCAACAAAAGGTGATGGACACGTCTGCTTTCTTTTAAGATGTATATCATAGCGTATATTTTTCGAATATCGTAGCGAATCAGTTCAACGACAAGCAAATACGAAATGTTTGAATTTGTTTAGAAAAAAACGCAGCCCTTCGTTTTTTGCATTAAAACAACAATTATCTTTCGTAATGGTTTGTGATTTATGTCGGCAAGGTAAACTCTTGTATTTTGCTATAAAATACCCTTTGAGCGAACCTTGTATATTGCTCAGCAAACTAGTAGTGATGGCCGGAAGACAGGTGTTTTGGGATAATCAATTAGAAATTCTCAAAGACTACTTGACCATTCGACTCCGATTTTGTTGTGGTTACTCAGAAGTATGAAGCCTACGGGTTTGAACAATTTCAAGTAGCTGTGTGAAATTATCGTCCATTTTGCCTCGGTGTTCGGCCATAACTTTTTTACGGTTAGTCGGATCCTTTTACGTGTGATCTCATTCTGTAGATCTCATAAATACCTAAGAATCTTATTTAAAGAGTTTTTTGGTTCCTGTCAACACTTTCGATGAAATCCCAAAAAACACGTTTTCTCATTCTTTGTTGTCGAATAAAAATTTTTCCCACAAAAATCGGTGTACCCATTTCATGTGTCCATGTTTTAAATATCCCCTTGAACAACTTGCATTAATAAAACCAGACTACAATTATTTCGGGGAAATTTGCTATGTCGATAACAGAGTAGTAATCAGGGACCCCACAAATCTCCAGAATGGAATCTTCAGATGACTTTAGTATTAGTATTGCGTAATAAGTTAATCAATGGTATAAGCTAATAAAAACTGCTTTTTCAACGTTGATTGATTATACACAGTGGGTACAAAAAATGACGAAATTGCTGTAGGGCTAGTCAACCCTTGATTATCGAAACCATTTAACTGGTTTCTATAGCCACCAGCATATGATAAGTCAACTGGTGACTAGCTTTAGAATTTCATAGTGCCGTTTATTTAAAATAACATATTTTGGGCAGCCTGTAGAAGCCACTATAACTGTTAACAATTTATGTAGCAAAATATCCATTTTAAAATTGATGTTTTGTGTTATCTTTCTCTCTCTCTTCCTCTCATATTATAATCGTAATTTGCCATAAGTGATGGACGTTCGGTTGTACACGAGATCTTGGACTAAAAAACTCTATAAATATCAACAATATCACTTGTCCAAAAGTATCTAGATGTGACGAAACTCCTTGTATGACAAAATTCCATTTGCATGTACGAAATTTCCGTTATCCTATGTATACAGCTTTCCCGGATTACTCACAGTATTATCTTATCTCTATTTATCTTACCAAAGTGTAGATAGTTTTTGTAAAATCACCATCATTTATGATATTCGCTGAAAACATTGTGGATGAATATTCAACAAATGATTACTGAAGTACGACAATGACAACCCTCTGTTACCATGGTAACGTATTTTGACATACTATGAATACAAACATACATACAGGACTTACGAGGGGTAAACCAGAAGCTAAGACATTTAGTATTCTAGTTTCGAAGAAGAGGGGTAGGGTAGGGTTGGTAAATTGCGTATATTTACCTCATGATATATGGATGTACAGGATGTTATAGAATCGTTGCCAGGAAAATAAGGAGCTGATTCAGTACACTTCGAAAAATATTTCACCTAAACATAGGTTTTTCTTTTGTACTTGAGCCACCGCGCAGGCCCAAAGCCTAAAAACCCGGTCCAGAAAAACTTATTTTGCGTAATACTTCATACTCAAAACTTCACAATTTTTGCTAAAGAAGTTCACCTTACATTTCTAGAAAACAAATTCTGTAGCCCAGAGCCAGACTAGGTTAAGTCCATTTTTGTCAAAAATGAGTTTAGTAAGTTAAGCTTATGATAATACTGTGAATTTACATTTGGTAGATGCAACGTCCATCAATCTGTGATAATAAGGAAGATACAGCTTTTTACTCACATCAAGTCGTATATAAAACAATACAAGAAAAATATTTCAAATACAACTATCTCACAACTACTCATTTGGACTTAACCTAGTCTGGATCTGAGGTACAGAATTGTGACCGAGAGTTCATTACTATGTGTTTTTTCTAAAGCACTCACATTTTTCCTCCTAGGTGAATAATAATGATGAAAAAGAATATGTGTATTTATTTATTTATAGCTTTTATTGCCCAACAGATCATATTCCATTTATAGGCCAAAATCTTAAATTAGAAATATTACAAAAGCCTAACTTATAAAACTATCTAAGGCGCTCCCGCAAAACACATTTCAGCTCCGAAATAGCACATAAGAATATGTCAAAAAAATTACAAATACTATTATAATTCAAACACTTAACCCTTTCAGATGATTTCAAAATTAAATTTGTGTTAGCACGACTGCAAAAAAAAGTAACATTACATCTCGTTAAAAACTGTAGTTGCGATAACAATTCCGAAGAAACTATAGTTCCATGCAAGAGTTTAAACAAAAAAATAACAGAACTGTACTCTCTTCTCACATTCAAAGACGTCATTCTAAATCTGTCTAACAGAATTTGATAGTCCGATCCACGTTGAGGGTAGACTCTATCCCACTTAAAAGCTAGATATTTAAGAAACTTTTTTTGAACATAATCTATCCTGTTTATAAGAGTATAACAGTTATAGTAGGGATTCCATATTAGGGATGCACTTGGATCATGTATAAGCATAATACAATGTTTTTAGTGCTCTCAAATCATTGATTAGCTTACAGTTTCTGATGAGAAAACCTAAGGCCCTATTAGCATTATTCACAATTATCTATATCGCAGTCAAAACTAAGCCTAGTGTCAAACATAACACCCAAATCACGAACAGTATCAACTCGAGTAACCTCAATTCCCCCAATACTGTATGCATATTCTATTTTACGTAGCTTTCGGGATAAAGTAACTACCTTGCATTTAGCAATATTCAAATCAATCAATATAATCACATACATCATTCACAGAGATCAAAAATAATTAGGGGCCCAGGTTAGAGCCTTGTGGCACTCCAGATGACGAATTGTATCGAAACGATTCGCTAGCTTAGCAATGAGCACCCCATCATCAACCTGAGTGAACACACTCATTCTTTACATAATAGTTCATTACATACCATGTTTGAGAACTGGGTCATTATTACTAAATCAAACGAACTTACCTGTAATGAAGTTCGATTGTAATTATATGAAGTCCTCGTGAAGTAAATAAGAACAAACGTAGTCTCTCTATTCCACACCGTACATCACGAATCTTTAAAGTAAACAAACCGCCCCGTCCGCTACCCCGCTACCCGGCCACGTCGGTGGTACCGTCGTGTGCATGTCTCATTATTCAAAGATCTGTCTGCAGTTGATGCAATTAATAATAGGGAAAAATAAAAACGGGGAGGGAGGGACTTATTTACTTCACGAGGACTTCATATAATTACAATCGAACTTCATTACAGGTAAGTTCGTTTGATTTAGTAATTATATTTCGTCCTCGTTCCGTAAATAAGAACAAACGTAGATGTTTAAAGCAAATAATTGTGCAACTGCAGACGAAACAAAAAATTTTAGGCTCTATAAGAGGAAAATAAGAAGTTTCTAAAATCTTATTTTAACGAATATAATTCGAATAAGAAACACATTCGAAATACTGGTATGAATTCAACAGCGGAAGAACAACATTAACATTATATAATAGTAAACATAAAACATAACATTATAACATCAAACAACATTAAACTAGGGAATAACCCTAAGGTATTTAAGAAAACAGAGTAACTAGTTAAATATTTAGCTAGTTCCTAAACTCAGAAATAGTTTACAACACTGGCATAATTTATCATAAGGAATAACTAAGGAATACTATTGTTAAGTGAAAATAATAATTAGTTATGTAGCTGGTTGATCTAATATGACCCTCGCATAAGCATAAGAATCACAAACCGGTCTCTTATAGAAGTTTGCAAATGTTTTTGAATGTCCGGTCCAACCAGCAGCTGACCTAATTATATCTATTGATACACCTCTACGATCCGCTAAGGAAGTAGATGCATGTCTTGTTGAATGAGATGCAAATTTAGAGGTATCAATACCAGCTTTAATTAAAACATTTCGAATCCAACGTGAAAGTGTTTGTGATGAGGCATTATGGTACGGTCTTTTAAAGGTGATTAAGAGCCTGTTACATACAGCATTTCTTACATCCTTCGTTTTTTCTATATAAAATAGGAGAGTGCTGGCGACACAAATATTTTCATCGCTTCTGAAAAAGGGTAAAGAAATAACAGGCTGGGCTTTACCTGGCCCAGAGGTTTTTATACGATCGCGAATAAATATCTGAACGCCTTGGGATGAAGATTTTATGTCATCAAGTTGAATAAGAGAAAGCGTTTGAACTCTTTGAGCTGAGGTAAGAGCTAACAATGTTGCTAATTTATATGATATTTGCTCTAGTGTGCAATCTCCATTAGTTAGTGTTCGCAAATAATCTAAGACAAGTGATGGATCCCAGATATTTTGATACTTCGGCAAACTAGGTCTCAAATGAAATACACCTTTAAAAAAACCGTTTTACGCGAAAATCTTGTGCTAATGAGGGGCCTAAAACCTGGGCTAAAGCGGATCGATGGGAATTGAGTGTACCATATGACGCTCCCTTATTATATTCTTCCTGCAAAAACTCGAGGACAGTCGCAATTGAAGCAGTGAAGCAACTCTCATTTCTGGATTTACAGAATTGATACCATCGCTTTAAACCGGAATCATATTGTTTAACAGTAGATTCTGTAATTGAAGCAAGGCAGACCTCAATTGCAGACTTCGGCGTTCCTCTTAATTCTAAACCCTGCCGGATAAAAGACCTGCAACCAGGATAAGTTGTGGCCATAAGGGATGTGTCTGAGATCTGTCAAAACATAAAAGGACATCTTTACTAGCCGGAAAATAAATTGGTGGCTTTTTAAGAAGAGATGTAAAAATGGGGTACCAAGGCTGTGTAGGCCAATGCGGCACAACTACTATACCTTGGGCCCTGTCTCTAATGATTTTATGCACAACTTTAAGTATTATTGAAAAAGGGGGGAAGGCATAAAAATGATAAGTACCCCAATTGACAGTAAAAGCGTCCACTTTGAATGCAAGAGGATCAGGATCAGATCTATTTCTGGGATTCCAAATCTTGAAACAATTTCTCTGAAATATTTGTCGTTCAACTCCCATTCCGTCTCAGGATGTAACCTACGTGATTCTATGTCTGCAATTATGTTATCCTTACTGTTAATGTAAGACGCATATATAAAAAAAATTTTTGCTTTCACACCACTGCCAAATCTCACGACACAGTGAATTTAATTTAAAATATTGAATGCCTCCCATTCGATTTATATAGGCAATGGCTGTAGTATTATCAATGCGTAAGAGAATATTTTGGTTAGAAAGATGACCGGCACAACATTTTAAACCAAAAAATGCTGCCTTTAATTCTAAATAATTAATGTGTTCTTTCCTTTCTTCTAAGGACCAAAAAACATGAGATCTAACATTATTACAAAATATTCCCCAGCCCGTTAAGCAGGCATCTGAAAAAATTTCCAATTGGAAAAAATCCAACTTAATAGAGTTGGTACTATCATTTTCTATATGCGATAGCCACCACCTGAGATCGTTATATAACAGTGGAGAAATAGCCATAGTTCTATCATAATTTCCATCTGTTCGCTTCAAGGCTAAAAATTTTTCTCTTTCCATTAATTTAGTATACAACCATCCATAACGAACAGCCGGGCATATAGAAATTAATTTTCCGATTATTTTGGCGAAAAAGCGTATCTTACAGCGCGTATTCCTTAAAAGATATCTAACATATCTTAGAAGTGAATCTTTCTTATCCTCCGGTATAGAAATTGACATATCTTGAGAATCATAAGTAAACCCTAGATATCGAACAGTCTTTGACGGAGTTATAACACTCTTTTGATAATTTATAAGAAAGCCCAATTTCTCTAGAAAATTGATAGTTAAGGAAACATTTTTCTGGCATTCATCAAAAGTTCTTCCCAATAATAGAAAATCATCAAGATACAGCACCGAAAGTAAGCCTTGTCCTCTAAGAAATGAAAGGACAGGTTTCATTAATTTGGTGAATACAAGAGGGGCACAATTGAGGCCAAAAGGTATGCAATTATATTCAAATAATTCACCATCAAACCTGAATCTTAAAAACTTCTTATAATGTTTATTAATGGGAACTAAATAGTATGCATGCTTCAAATCCAGGGTGGACATGAAATAATTTTCCTGAATAATATTGCATACTGTTCTTTGGTCTTCAAGCTTAAAATGTTCTGCTTTAATAAAGTTATTAAGAGATTTTAAGTTTAAGATTAAACGCTTTGAACCATCAGTTTTAGGAACTAGGAAAATACTTGATATGTATTCTCCTTTATAATGTGTGACTTTTTGAATAGCGCCAGAGGCTAATAACTCTTGAATTGATTCTCTTAAGGCTGACTTCTCTGAATTTGACCAATGCCTCTCCAAGTGTCGTACCTTTTGGATTGGTCTGGTGACAAAAGGAATTTTCAAACCAGAAATCCATGATAAAATATTTTTATCTTTAGTAATTTCTTGCCACATAGGTAAATAATTACGTAATCGACCAACTGTGCAACCCACCTCGCTCTGATCTATCGATTCTGTTTGTGGTATTGACGTACATCCTGTCGGCGACGACGATCCTGGTCCGAGGTTCTTCTCTGTGTTTGATGAGGCCTTTTTTGGAACGACTGAGAGGGATTTGGGATCTTTATCGGCCGCCCACCTCGAATGTTTCCCCTTTGTGTTCGACGAGGTGGACGGTAAAAGTTTTCCGGAACCTGTTTGGCAGGTTGTTTAAATGAGGTACTAGGTCTAGATACTCTAGTAGGTTTCAGGTCCAAACCAGATTTTTCAATATCCTTGGTAGCTTTTATTCGCTCACCGAGATCCTTGCCGAACAACCATCCGTCAGCAGACACATTAGTCAGAGTTTCTTTGAGATCTTTCCGTAAATTCAGTATCAATAAATCTCTACGGATTACCGAGTATTTGTGATAAAAATCTAAAAGTAATCTACTAGCATCACTAGCTAATTCAACATAAGCCAGGTTCCCCCCCCCTTCTTCAGACACAACTGCTGATGCTAGTTGACCCAATGCTGACAGTGCAGCTCCTATTTGGTTCTGAAGCCCATTGAGGTTTGAGTCTCTACGAGCTACTTGTTCATTAATCGCTGAGGCAACTTCTGGATTTATACGGGGGCATTTTAAAAGTGGGCAGTTTTCAGGAGGGGGATATTTTTTGAGCAAGGTATTGACGGAGGCCTCGCTTAACCCGTTGCTTAAAATAAATGACCATCTGCTAGTTAGATCCACATGAGCTAGTATACTAGCATCTAGAATTGAACTTCCCCCATCTGTAAGAGAGGAACCATATTATATAATAAACGGTCGTAGATCTAAAATATGCCATAATATTTCAGAAAACTGATAACCAATAATTATGTGAAACAATACCATAATTGTACTGGATTGTCATGGCAATTTTGTGTAAAATATGTCATAATATTTCAGAAAACTGATAACAAATATGTGAAACAATACCATAATTGTACTGGAGTGTCATGGTAATTTTGTGTAAAATATGCCATAATATTTCACAAACAATCAAAGAAGTGCAGGGAAAATACACCATAGTATTTTCGAAAAATTGACAGCACAACTTGTAAAAAATACCATGCAAGGAAAATACACCATAGTATTTTCAAAAAATTGACAACAAATCTTGTAAAAAATACCATAATTATTTACAAAATAAAGTGTCATGATAGGTATTATTTGTAATGTAAAATATGCCATAATATTTTACAAAATTAAATCTAATGATTCGTAGATTCCCATCATGCCAAATTGTTCCAAAATACTCTCAATTCAGTACTAATTTAATTCAAAACAAAACCTTCAATTGGAGTGGTGTTGGTTATGCATGAGCCGGCAACCTCGGAATCCACGGCATCAGCATTCCTGGCCGCAAAAGCTGATAACGGCACATCGTCGTCGTCTGAGTGATCGGGCGTGGTAAAAACATCACTCTGGGGGAGGGAGAACGGTGAGACCTTCTGCCCTTTGAATGGTGCTTCTTCAACCGCTTCTTCAATCTTGCAATTTTCCAAATGATATAATCATCACTGTCCGAGTCACTAAAATCAGGTCTCTTGCGCTTTTCTGACATCGCAAACAAAAAACTAGGCGGAGCACTATTATACGAAATTTCGGTCGGCAACGAAACGCGTTGTACGGCACGAAAACAGAGAATGAGACATGCACACGACGGTACCACCGACGTGGCCGGGTAGCGGGGTAGCGGACGGGGCGGTTTGTTTACTTTAAAGATTCGTGATGTACGGTGTGGAATAGAGAGACTACGTTTGTTCTTATTTACGGAACGAGGACGAAATATAATTGGCCAATTATTTGGTTAGTACCACTCACTCATGAATCTACATATCTTACAGTCGCTACTTTATACTTCTTATTTAATGATGTATGTTATTAATGAATAAAAGGGGATGGAAGGAGGATGGAGGAGAGCGCTGAGGAGCAAAGCCCGTTGGGGTAGCTAGAAGAAAGCTAGATCACCGATGGCCCGCCGGCGCCGGTGCGAAAGGGTCCCGAGACTGTCTGCTAGAGAAGAGTCATAGAGCAGTCGGCAGCACAGAAATCGTGAGAGCAATACTCGAGGCTAGGTCTTATCTGAGCCTTGTGTAGAGTAGGAAGGTCATGTGGAGAGCAAAGCTGTGGATTGGGTTGATCGTGCAGGAAAGAAGGTCGTTGATATGTAAGAGAAACGGTGCCGGCGCCAAGACCGATCCCTGGGGCACACCCGAGTTGACGTTGTGGGATGAAGAGGAGAACCCATCAGTTACGACGGATATCTTCGGGCTAGAGAGGTAGTTTGTTTTCAACAGACTACGAGTATATCATTCGTTGAGATAATTCAAGACGACAGAACAGCTACAAGGAACTGGTGTCTAATTCCGACACAAACGTTTCCCTTTAACTGTGGAAGTGTTTGTTGTTTGTTTATGACCCCATTTCTCTCACAATCCAATTAATTCCTATAGCTTAGGATTTTCCAAATTGTCAATGGAAAACGATTTTCCAATAAGGACGGATCGATATTGAGATGGAATAAAACAAGCTGCGTATAGGCATTAAAGGCGTTCCTTTTTGTTTGAAAGGTTCATTCCTAATCTTTTTTGTTTAGACACACGTACGCACAAAGAGTAGACAGTAAAAGATTACATTTAAGAAGTATTGACTGAATGAGCATCCTGGCGCAGCGCGCATACGCGGTGATAATATTGATGAATAATCTGTTTTTGAAAACTCAGCGGGTCTAGGCTCGAGGTTAAGCCAACCCGCTAGCGGCATAAGAAGTCACGTTGCTTTTTCAAAAATGCTATCCCCACTCTTAAAGAACCAAAATGGAAGAATATTGAATAAAACAGTTTCCAAATTGTCCAATCTATCCAGAAAAAATATTTTGAATACATGTTGGTTATGGATTTTTTTGGGAAAAACGTTATTTCGCGTGTTGAGGTTAGCGCTGAGCTCCCTAGCGGCCATCTGAGAAATTGTAAATAATTTCTCATGGCCACTGTCACAAATATTTTTATCCGGTTGGTCTACGTCAAATTCATTGAAGTATCTAAAGTGGTATTACTGATATTAATAATGAATGATTTATTTTTGTAAATTTTACTATTCTGTATCTCAAAAGCTACGAGATTTAGGACATACGTTTATATGAAGTTTTCTTCTTAAAATGGACCCTTCAAATATTGACATTCAGTTAGGAATCACCCTGTATTCTACCCGCAATTTCGGATGCCACTGGTTGAATTCCATTCAGGATACTCGTAATTTAAAGTAACTAGGCTAATTCATTATTACTCTCGCTCACTGTGTTGTGATAACAAGCTTATCGCATCCTGATAATTTAACTCGTAGTTCAGTTCTGTTATATAAATATAAGTCTTGGTACAACAAACAACCACTAATAAAATACACCGATATAACAATACTCATACAACATTGCATTTTTGTCTAATACGTATGTAATGATTTATTATTATATTTACAACTATGACTAAGTTTATTATGTAATCATTGCTATCCATAAGATTCAGAGGAATAGAGTATATTTAGTTATATACAGGAAAAAGAGGGGAGGTAAGCAGATATTGGATATCTTTCCTGTACATATTCATTTATTGTTACAAGAATGTATTCCAATATTTGGAAGGGTACTTGGTATAGATGAGACAATATTTTATAGGAGATTTTTGCAACAAAATATTTATGAGGATATGTGAAACTCATCTAGAGATACAAAAAATATAGTATGTATTGCTATATGAGGACAGCAGTTGGAGTTGTAGGGAATGGTAACAGCTTTATAATTCGATCTTATACAGGGTGTCCCAGAAGTCGACGTCAAGCCGAAACCGGGTGATAGGCAAAGTCATAACAGCTATCAGAAAAATATTTAAAAAAATTTTATTTATGTGTTTTGAAAATTATAGGTCTTTGAAAAAAATATAGAAAATTCACACCCTACGGCAGTCTGTCAACTCCTGTTACTACAAATATTAACTTTTTTTGGATTTTATTTTTAGAATGTAATGATGAATAATGCATCTTCAAACTGGTGTCTCAACCTTACTGCCAACTTTTCTCGTTCAGGAAAAATTGCCACTTATTTCCCAACCAAGTATTCCAAAGTAAAACTTTGCTCAACTTTAACTGGCTGTACTGGAAAAAAATGTACTACGAGAGTTTGGCAAGTAACCTTAAAAGTTGGCGCATTTAATAAGGATTCCAAAATGGTATAACAGTTAGAAGATTACTCGTTAACTTATGCACAATTTTTATTTGAAGAAAAACTGATGAAAATTTTTAAAATTTCCTAATTAAACAGCGATTATGAAAACGCACAAGGACCCTTAAGGATAACTGTTTGCACAACAGTGGGCATCAAAATGCTGCTGATGATGATTTACCTTTACAGCAAATGCTCAAACTGATTGTGCAGTGCCGCTATGTCCGTGTACACCGTACAAGAATATGCTAACATGCACCTCATTTATGGGGAATGCAGATGCAACGCTAGTGCTGCAGCGAGACTTTACTGTGAGAGGTATCCGAATGCAGCTCGTCATCCAGATCATCGAGTGTTCACAAATGTGCACCGCTTACTGTTCTCAGAGGGCCAACTACCAAACCAATCACACGGTGAGGGAAGATCTTTACTTCCTTACGAAGACGTGGTGCTAGGAGCTGTCGAAGAAGACCCGAGTACTTCAGTGCGTGCAATAGAACTAAAAACAGGCGTGCCCAAAAGTACAGCCCATAGAATCTTGCAAAAAAACGTGCTCCATCCATACCACGTACAGCGTGTTCAAGCTCTTCTGCCCCGGAATTATGAGCCCCGAGTTGCTTTTTGTCGCACAATGTTAGAAAGACACAGGAAAGATCCACAGTTCTTTGAAAAAATTGTATGGTCGGATGAGACCACATTTAAGAAAGATGGGTACATGAACCTGTATAACTTACACGAGTGGCACGTAGCAAACCCACATTTGATGAGAGAAGATAAATCTCAATATCGCTTGAAGATAAACCATTGGACAGGAATTTAAATGGTAAAATAATCGGTCCGTTTGAGTTCCCAGAGACTTTGACTGCTGAAGTTTATTTGGATTTTTTGAAAAATCATGTACAAAATTTATTGGTGGACGTACCACTGAGTATTTACAGGGACATGTGGTTTCAGCATGATGGCTGCCCAGCGCACTATGCACTCTCAGTGAGAGAGTATCTCGATCAAAACTTTCCAGGCATATGGATAAGGCGGTCTGGTACAATAACGTGGCCAGCCCGATCACCTGATTTGAATCCTTTAGATTTTTTTACTGGGGAACTGTAAAAGAAAAAGTGTATTTCAAGCCGATTCAAAATGTAGCTGAGCTACGGCAAAGACTATTGGAAGCAGCTGCGTTTGTTAATAACCGTGGATTCGCTCGTTTAATAACCCGATCTTTTTTAAGAAGATGTCGAGCGTGTATTGCGGCTGAAGGAAAACAGTTTGAGCATTTGCTGTAAAGGTAAATCATCATCAGCAGCATTTTGACGCCCACTGTTGTGCAGTTATCCTTAAGGGTCCTTGTGCGTTTTCATAATCGCTGTTTAATTAGGAAATTTTGAAAAATTTTCATCAGTTTTTTTCAAATAAAAATTGTGCATAAGTTAACGAGTAATCTTCTAAGTGTTATACCATTTTGGAATCGTTATTAAATGCGCCAACTTTTAAGGTTACTTGCCAAACTCTCGTAGTACATTTTTTTCCAGTACAGCCAGTTAAAGTTGAGCAAAGTTTTACTTTGGAATAGTTGGTTGGAAAATAAGTGGCAATTTTTCCTGAACGAGAAAAGTTGGCAGTAAGGTTGAGACACCAGTTT